CGCCTGCGTTTTGCGCACATTCACCGACAATCTCCAGTCGTCCAGCCACTTTGGTAGGGTGTCGAGTTGCCGCTGCATTTTCAGCGCTGCGTGCTTCTTGCTGATGGATGTCACTATGAAGGCGGCGTCGTCGGCGTACAGCGCGAGGAGAGACTCGGGGGTAGTGGGAATGTCGTCGGTGAACAGCGCGTAGAGCGCAGGCGATAGGCAGCTTCCCTGTGGTACACCCGCGCGGATGGGTCGCTCTCCCGAACAGGTTTGTTCCACCGTCACCATGAAGCGTCTTGAGTGGAGGAATGAGGCCACTATTCGGACCAACCTTCTTGGTGTATCGGTCTGAGTGGCCATTTTATACAGTAGACCGTTGTGCCACACGCGGTCGAAGGCTTTCTCCATGTCCAGTAACACTGCAATAACGTGCTCGTGCTTATTGTGGGCGCTCGTTATGACGTGCAGGACTCTGGTCAGTTGCAGTGTCGTGGAGTGTTCCGCTCTAAATCCAAACTGCTCCAGGCGTGGTTTTAAGTGTGGTTGTAGATGTTTGAGGAGGAGTTTCTCAAACACCTTTGACATGTGTTGCAGTAACGTCACTGGCCGGTACGATTCCGGTTTCAGTACGTTCTTACCGGGCTTAGGCAGCGTGATGACTTTGCCTATCTTCCAGTGGTCTGGGAAATGCCCTGTGCGTACTATTCCATTGTACAGGCGCGTCAGTGCCGCTATAGTGCGCGGCGGCAGGTGACGCAGCGCCGTATTTGGGATGTTGTCGCTGCCGGGGGCTTTCCGAGGCTTCGTCTTTCTGATTTCACGCTGCACTTGTCCCGGTGTAAAGACAATCGGATCTTCGTGAGGTGATAGTGGCGATGATAGGTACTCCTTCACGAAGTTGTCTATCCGTGCAACATGATCACTATTTGAGGATGGATTGAGCTGGAACTGGCGCTCTAGGTGATCCGCGTGAATCTCCGCTCGGTCTACTGCGCGGTACCTCGGTGTTCCGTCGTTCGCCAGTAGGGGTCGGACTGGGGGGTGGGAATTTGTTAGCCGGCGACACAGGCGATGAATGCTGTTCCAGTCGTCACCGGCTTCCTCTACGTATCTTTCCCAACTCTCCTTTCTATGGGACTCGACGTCACGCTTTATTTCTTCTGCAAGCTTGTTTAACCTCGTTTTGGTGGTGGGGCATCTGGTAGCCTGCCAGTCTCTGCGCAATCGGCGCTTAACGGCGAGCTTCCTCTTTATTGCAGCCGGGATGGTATTAGTTGTTTTCGCTACCTTTCCCGGCTGAGATGCGTTTTGCATGGCGGCCTGTATGGAGACTGACAGGTCTCCCGCAAGCTGTTCGACGTCGGCGGAGGTTAAAATTGCCCTCGTTGGCGTGTTGTCCTGCATGAAGTCCGTGAATTTCCCCCAATCCGTCCGGCGGCGCGGGGCCTGCGGCGTCAGGAGCACCGGGGTCATCAGGATATCCATGCACACGGGAAGGTGGTCGGATTGGACGTCCTCCAAGAGGACTTCCTGCGTCAGTTAGTTGGCTGTCCAGTCCCTTGTAGAGGGCTATGTCGAGCACGTCGGGTATTCTTGCGGCGTCGTGGGGATAGTGTGTAGGTACCTCTGGACCATGCACAGCGATGTTTAGTTTCTCTACTATCCCCAGGAGTTTTCTGCCTTCGGCGCTGATTATGTTGGAGTTCCAAGCCGTGTGTTTACAGTTCCAATCTTCTGCGGCGATGGTCGGCAGCGGCTCCTTGAAAAGGGCCTCGACGTCGGCCGTTGCAAGTTTCGTTGTCGGCGGTTTGTATACTGCAAACACACGGATGGGATTTCTATTGTTGCACAGCTCGATCCCAAGTGCGTACATCGATCCAAGTTGCACCTGTGGGAGCGGCTGGTGGACGATGTTCCTCCTTACTAGGACAGCCAACCCGCGATACACCCTTCGGTCGTCCGTAAGCTCGTCCTTGCGGTATGCATGGTATCCCGGTATGTGGAGTGCGTCGGCGGCCCCTAGCATCGTCTCCGAGATGAGACACACGTCGACTTTATACTCCACGAGCATCAGTTTCAGTAGGGGCAGCTTCTTGCGGATCCCGTCCGCGTTCCAGTGAACTATTCTTATCATGCTAGCTGCGATAGTTTCACCAGGCCCGCGGTTATTACCGGCAAGGGGTCTGCGCCGGTTTGTACCGCGACTAGCACCTCCATCAAGATGTTAATCATCGCCCTCATCAAGTGGTTGTTGTTGGAGGTGCTGGATTCCAGTGGCTGCTTCGCCATCTTCCCCTTGACACTTTCGTGTTGTGGCGCCGCGCTTGATGCGGCCTTTTGTGTGGCGGCTTCGTATTTAGTGGGGGCGGCGACCGCAAGCGGACGGGTTGTTTTTGCCGAAGCCTGTGTCTTGGTCGGCGCGGCCTCAGTGTGCCGCTTGACGGGAGGCGGCCTATCTTTATACCCGCCCGCTCGCACGATAACGTTTCCAACTCGCGTTAGCGAATCTGCGCGAGCGGGACGGGGCGAGAATGAACGAGACGCGTGTCTCTTCAGATCGGTACTCTATAGCGTTTATTTATGTATTGCAATTTACAATTTCTTAATTCTATTTATTGTTACAATTTCTATTTCTATTTGTAGGTAATAATGACAACACACAAAGGAATACTTTATTTAACTTACGCTATAGGTATCTTAAATCTATGTAAATCTATATAAAATAACAGAATACAAAAAACGATTAAACTAGAAACTTAACAACTAACTATAAACATTGCTATAAATATCGCTATAATTACACATATACAAATAATGTCGCGAACAATATAGGTATAACAACATTAAATACAATACAATATTAATGCACATGCCTATTATAGGTATTCACAGCATTTACTTTAACGTAATTATACAGTGTAAGAAATTTAAGTAAATAACAAAAATAAACATGTAATCTAAGTTGTGAGCAAAATCAGAAAATAAGATTATGAGTAAATTAAATTAAAAAAAATATTAAAAAAATATATATTATGACAATTAGAGTTAATGTTCATAAGATTGTTGTACAAAGTGCTTCAGCAATTTATTCCTGTAGGAATTCGAATTATATTATTCTATAATATTATGTCCAAATGCCAGATACCATTGATGCTTCTGTTCTTATACACTAATTAATATCACAGTTTATTAAAATATTTTTATTATAACATATTATTTATAACTATTGTACATGCTTTTATTTTCCGTTTACTGTAATAAATAATAATAATGAATTGTATGACTAAGGAAAGGAAATATAATGTGGAATATATAAATTATAATATAAATCATATATATATATACGAGGTCTGTCCGGAAAGTTCGTATAAAAGTGTTCTGGAATGCGAGAAAGAGGAGTGGGGAGGCCAGGTAAGCGCAGGACCCCTTCCTTATGTCCCTAACAATGCTTCAGTTCTGGTCTGACCGCCGTGCGGTGCGAACTGGCTTGTCACGCCATCTGTGAAGTTACCTCTTAACGAAACCCCGTCGGCATGGAGCCCGCTTCCGTTGAAGAGCAGCGCGTCGTAATCAAGTTTCTCTCGAAACTCGGCAAGAATGGCCGTGAAAGCAAAGAGTGGAAGACATCCGGGGAACCACGAACAAAAAAATCAAGAAAATCCCGCTCAAATGTCAAGACAATGTTGATTGTTTTTTTCGATGTTCGGGGGATTGTCCATCAAGAATTCGTCCCTCCAGGCCAGACAGTTGATGGAAAATTCTACGTCGATGTGCTCAGACGCCTCAAAGCTCGTGTGGCACGAGTTCGTCCAGAATTGGCGCGAGAGGGGCGTTGGATTCTTCACCACGACAATGCCCCTGCCCACACCTCTCTTGTTGTCCGTGAGTTTTTGAGTAAAAATTCCATTACGGTGACCGAACACCCCCCTATTCGCCGGATTTGGCCCCGTGTGACTTCTTCTTGTTCCCAAAAACCAAATTGGTACTTCGGGGGCGGCATTTGGGGGACATAAATGAGATAAAAAAAGCTACGACGGGGCAGCTGAGAAACCTACAACCAGAGGACTTTCAAGGAGCCTTCTCACAGTGGAAACGGCGTTGGCACAAGTGCATTATGTCACAGGGGGAGTACTTTGAAGGGGATAAAATTGATTTACCTGAATAATTGTAAAATAAAATTTTTAAAAAACTTTTATACGTACTTTCCGGACAAACCTCGTATATATATATATATATATATATATATATATATATATATATATATATATATATATATATATATATATATATATATATCATAATAAATATATAAATTTCTTATATTGTTAAAAATCTACACGCCGACATAGAGGCAGAATGTACACGGGAAATATAAACCTCTATAATCTAAAATTACCAGCATTCTAGCAAAATGAATTAATTTCATTTCATATTGTTTTGTATTATTCTTCAAGTGGTGCAATAAAGAGTAAATAAATATAGATAGATGGATACTCTTTATTGTTTCCTCCAAAAGATTACAATAGTAAACCTATTATAAATATAAACAATTACAAGAAATAATCACAATGAGAAAACAATGGGCGACCTTATCGCTAAGAGCGATCTCTTCCAGGCAACCTTTGGATGGAGAGGAGTAATTATAAATTGTTCGATCGGAGGCACGATGGAAATTCTATTATTACTAAATATGGTGATATAATACATGTAATAATGTATTAATATATATCAATTTCAAACATCGATCAACTTGTTGATGTACAATACAATACAATGTGGCTTTAGTAACTTGTAATTAATAGTTGATTGTTAATAATACATATAAAAATGTAGCACGCCGAGCTGGCTGAATGTTAAAGGTTACACAAAATGTGTAATATTACCTACACTTAGCACATTTATCGCAATACATTTTATTTCATTCCAAATAATAAATAAAAATATGTACGTAGCTGGAGCGAGTAGTTGGTAATTTTGATGTATTATATCTAATTACATTAATATTTTCACAGAACCAAACACACAGTGGGCGTGTTCTGGCACAACTCTGCCGAAACGTGGGTGGATGTGGTCAACTACGCGGATAGCACAGTGGTCTCGTCCCTGGTCAACCTGGTCACTGGTGGACAAAAGCGCCGAGTCGATGCACGGTTAGTGGAGTATTTGTCTAAAATTTCAAATTCAGTACCCGTATGGATCAGCAAACTTAATAAAAATTGGGATAATTTGGGATAACGATTGAGAAAAAAAATATTATTGTTCGTTATTCATCATTGAACTTAAAAAGTAAAATTGTGTTTTTGATTTCCGCGCATTGTTTGAGAAAAGTACTATACAAGCCTTGGCCACAACTAGGCATTGATGGACTCACGTATGTGTGCCTCGGCTACGCCTCGACCCACACTTGTACGTTCGTCCATTAATGTTTCAGTTGGTTGCCGCTGCAGTAACGTACTATTATGGTATTGTCTTACATTTCTGCACCCCTTTATATTATGGCTGTAATAATGTAATGTCTTAAGATTATATTAATAATTTAAATAACTCTTGTGCTTTTTGCTACTCTTTATAGACACAAATTTATAATTGTAAAGTCAACTTTTGTTTGAAAAAAGCAACACTTTAATTTCTTATTTGTTCTTCACAGCTGTTGTTATTTTCTTCAAATAGACAGTAGAATCATTTTAAAAAAATCATCATATTAGCTGTTATCTGTCCACTGCTGAACATAGGCTGCCTCCTATTGAGGGATTTTGCCAATAGTTACCATGCTTGGCATGCGGATTGACAACATAGGCTTTGATGGTATTTTAAGACGGTCGCTGATGCCCAGTCCTCGATCATTAAGTTCCCTTAGTCGCCTATTATGATACCCACGGGAAAGGAAGAAGTGGCTTGTTCTATGTCGGAACCACACGGTGTTTTTTTTTTATATATATAACTTAGAATGGCAAACAAGCTGATGGCCCACCTGATGGAAAGTGGTAGCCGTCGCCTATAGACATGAGCAGTACCATGGACATAACAGAGTATACTGTTTTGCCCATGATACCCCATATGTGTTGCCATTCCTAAGGACTCAGGTGTTATTCCTCTGTACCCAGTAAATTCACGCCATATCCCACCCAAATGTTTATTTACTAAAATATAATGTTACATTGCAGATTTATGAGCGAATCGGGTATAATCGATGTGTTTGTGATGCTGGGTGATACGCCAGCCGACGTGTTCCGGCAGTACACGGCCCTTACTGGGGTCGCACCTTTGCCGCCGGTAAGCACGTGTCTAAATACTTAGGAGTTTTTTTTTAATGGGTGATGATCAAATGGTAACCCCGCCTGCGCTATCGGTATACTCTGGCGGGGCACCAGTGGAAGATGATAGATGAGAATGTAAGCAGGTCAGGATGTAATTAGCCCATCTTGACGAATTCAACTAGAATTAAACCACGATGGTTTCTAGGAGAAACTACGTGGAGACCTACAGACACTCACTACACTCACTACAGACGTGCTACAGAGTACCTGACAGAGTATATTGCTAGTAATGGGACTATTTGACCCCACTAACAATCTCTTTCCTCCCAAAATACGTAGGACTTGCCTAAACTAATATTATAAAATAGAAAGATTTTTGTTTTTAATAGATAAATTAAAAAAATACTTATCTAATCTTAAGGACAATAATAAGGATTTTATTCATTCATTAGATTTAAAAAAATCACCCATAGTATGCTACATTATCAGCAAGTATGTGGGCGGTATTTTATAAAAAAAAAATCCATTAATATCCGGTGAGTCTTGGTATTGATATTATAAACTAGCCGATCCGATAGATGTCGTTCTGTCAATGTTTGGAAAGACAGCTAGGGACAGTTTGTATAGGGGAAAAAAAATTGCCGTTTTTATGTTTTTCTTTATTTATATTTATACACACAAGTGATAAGTTGTACATGCCATAAGGCATTTTCTACCTTTTATTTATTAGTAGTGCAGAGAGTAGTTTTTCTCATCACAGTTTCTACAGACAGCACCTGTCATCATCAATAACATGTCTGTTACGTGGCTTGACATAATGACGTTTTTAGCAAAAGCATAGACTACAAATGCGTTCTCTAATGTTTTACATTACAGATGCGTTCATTTCATAACAATGTTAACATCGACAGGTATTTCATCGTCATATGTTATAATATGGTCGTATGTAGTGCGGTTACAGAAAAGTTTTCTCCCGCGAACGCTTAAGCTGCGGAATGTGCTGCCTGCCGGTTTTCGCTAGAGATTACAGTGTGGGGTTTTTCAAAAAGGATTTATTAAGGTTTCTACAGGGTCGGCAAACGCGCACGTGACGCCTCTATTAGTGCAGGGCTCCATAGGCTAAAGACTGTTTACCGTCAGATGGGCTGTACGCATGTTTGCCACCTTTCGTAGTATAAAAACCATTCTATGCTTAATAAAGTATATTTGTAGTAAGTCAATTGTTTGTTGCAGCGTTTCTCGCTGGCCTACCACCAGTCGCGATGGAACTACGTGGACGAGGGGGATGTGAGGAGTGTGGATGACAATTTCGACATACACGACATTCCCGCAGACGCCATCTGGCTCGACATCGAGTACACAGATCGCAAGATGTAAGTTCTTACTACACTAAGAACAACGAAATAAAGCCATTTCGGTAAGGGGGCGGGGGAGGGGGATATTGTTAAAAATGGGGTCTGCAGCCCTATTACTAACAATACTACTTCTCTATCAGGTCAAACTCCATGGTGTTCACCCTGAAGAACATTTGTTGAATTCGTCTCCATAGACCAACTGGCCTACTTCATCCTCACCTATCATCTCACCTCTTATCTTCGTCACCCATAATAACATACACTAGCAGGGCACTAGTGATGGCACCCCGCCAGTGTATATCGATAACTCAGGCAGGGTTTCCATTCTATTAACATCTATTAAAGAAAAAAGATCACCAAGCCCTCGTTTTAAATTTACTTATGGTTATTTTCTAATTTAAACCATAAGACACCTTATATACGCGAGTGAAGACGCGGCATAGGTTTTCCTTTAAAACACAAAACCACGAGAGCAGCTTAATATTATGTCGATAGGTACTTCACATGGGACGCCGAGAAGTTCCGTCACCCGTCGGAGATGGTCGCGAACCTCACCGCCAAGGGCCGCAAGCTGATCGTCATCATAGATCCCCACATCAAGCGCGAGCCTGGCTACTTTTACCACGAGGACGCCACCGACAATGGGTACTACGTGAAGGATAAAGACGGGAAGGATTACGAAGGTACAATCATCATCATCATCATCATATCAGCCATGATTAGTGATGATCAGTGAACAACTGATCACTAGACATAGGTCATCCCCATAGATTGCCATAAAGAACGGTCCTGAACCACCTGCTTTCACTTACTCCCAGCAATGCATTAGAGGTCGTCACTCTATATAGTGGGGGATTGTTTTACACTATGTTTGCCCGTACGGGGTCATCAACAACTTATTTCCATTGGCTGTCAGTTCTTCAAGCTAAAAGACCAGCCGTAATGGGCATTTCAGCTTGCTTATCCTTTGAGCTACTAAAGCAGAAGGTACAATAAATACATTTAATTATATATAAATAGTCGATAATAGCTTATTATTTATTTGTTTTATAATTTTTGAACTATAACATTTAAAATGAATTGTTCTTAATCATAATGTTATGTTTGTGTACAATAAAGAATAAAGAAAGAAACGTCTCCTATATATTGGAATAAAAAGTACAAGTAGTAACATAATGTACCTTCACTCTAACTAATCCATGTTTATTATAATTTCTTTGCAGGCTGGTGCTGGCCAGGTTCCTCCTCGTACCCTGACTTCCTGAACCCGGTGGTCCACGACTATTACGCGTCCAGATACAGCTTCGACAAGTTCCCCGGCACCAGCAAGGATGTCCACATCTGGAATGACATGAACGAGCCCAGTGTATGTATTGCATACGTTGTTTTGGGGGTCATTGACAAAAAAATAAATAAAAACATAAGATCATAAAGTAATATTTTATACCAGAGGGAGACTTTGTACAAAAGTCGATTGCTTGGGTAACTCTGTCCCATTCGTGTTTTAACCGTGAAGCAGTTGTGTTTGCATGGCTGTGTTTCGGTTTGAAGGGTGGGATATGGCGTGAATTTACTGGATACAGAGGAATAACATCTGAGTCCTCAGGAATGGCAACGCATGGGGGTATCATGGGCGAAACAGTATACTCTGTTATGTCCATGGTACTGCTCATGTCTATAGGCGACGGTTACCACTTTCCATTAGGTGTGCCGTCAGCTTGTTATGGATTTTTTTGCTGTGGATGTGGTACATAATGGGGTGGAATTAATTACAATAAGTAGCTTGCATATTGCAGCCATTTTGATATGAAACCATTAATTGTAATTTTTTTTAGCAAAACTAAACAGGTTGCTAAAAAGTTGTAGTCAATGTTTATTTATTTATTTAAGGAACACCAACAGCATATTGCATTATAACATATAGGTATAACAAACATTAAATATAATACAATATTAATGCACATGCCTATTATAGGTATTCACAGCATTCACTTTAACATAGTTATACAGTGCGAGAAAATGAAGTAAATAATAAAAACAAACGTGTAACCTAAGTTGTGAGCAATATCAGAAAATACGATTATGAGTGAATTGAATTAAAATATATATATATATATATATATATATATATATATATATATATTATGTTAATTAGGTTATATTGGTTTGTTTAGGTTTTCAACGGTCCAGAAATCACAATGCCCAAGGACTGCCGCCACTACAAACCGCCCGAGAATGGTGTTGAAGGCATCGGTTCATTTTGGGAGCACAGGTATCTAATGGATTACAATGTTCCTTAGTATTATGAGTATAAATGTGAACTTTTATAAGTATAATTGTACGAGAGGACGGATTGTTAACAATGGGGCTACAAGTCCTCATCGCTACCAATATACTCTGTCAGGGGGAAAGGGATTTATTTATTTATTTTTTATTGACCACATTACAAAAAAATGTCTGGTACAAAAGGCGGACTTAATACTATATAGCATTCTCTCCCAGTCAACCTTTGGCTAAAAAGAAATTTATATTAAATTTGTTAGTAATGGAGAACTAATAGCCCCATTGCCAGCAATATACCCTCTCAGGTCGACCTCCACGCGGTTCCCCCTGGAAACCATCATGTTTAATTCTTGTCGAATTCATCATGGTGGGCCAACTGATCTGCATTCATTCTCACCTATCATCTTCCACTGGTGCCTCGTCGGTGAACACCGTTAGCGCAGGCAGGGTTACCATTCTATTATCATTCATTAAAAAAAACCTTTATCTCGAAGGATACATATACTTCCCCATTACATCGTTGTTCTTAATAATATTGTGACACTTTTTTTTTTATACAACTTAGAATGGCAAACAAGCTGACGGCCCACCTGATGGAAAGTGGTAACTGTCGCCTATACGCATGAGCAGTACCATGGACATAACAGAGTATACTGTTTCGCCCATGATAACCCCCGTGCGTTGCCATTCTTGAGGACTCAGGTGTTATTCCTCTGTACCCAGTAAATTCGCGCCATATCCCACCCTACAAACCGAAACACAGCCATGCAAACACAACTGCTTTACGGTTGAAACACGAATGGCACAGAGGTACCCAAGCAATCGACTTTTGTACAAAGTCTCCCTCTGGTAAATGTGTTTCATGTGTTTTGTTAACCAACATGTGTTTGGTTAATTGTATCATTTATGTAGAAAAATAATAATAAAATGTGTGTGTGTGTGTGTGTGTGTGTGCGTACCATAGACACGTGCACAACGAGTACGGGCTGTTCTACATCCGCGGCACCTTCGACGGCATGCAGGCGCGCGCCCCCGGACAGCGGCCCTTCATACTCACCCGGGCCACGTTCGCCGGCACGCAGAGGTAACGATACTCACGACGATAATAAACTCTTTTTATTTATTTTTATTTTATTTATTTATTTATTTACAAGAAACATGGTAAGTGTATAGATGTTACAATAAGTACAAGTCCTCATATTTCGCCATAATTAGGCATGCGAATATTAAAGCTTAAAAAGAATAAATGTTAAATAAGTCATTAAAATTCGAAATGTTATATAAAAAAAAAAATACATAAAAAATGTCAGACACTTGTCAATAATAAAAAAAGAAATAAATTACTTTATTGCGCACGATACAGATGGATATGTTGCAGTCAAAACTCTTAACCAGTCAAAAGTACTATTGACTAGCGAAATCAGTCAAAAGTATTTTTGACCGTATGCTTTAGTCGATATAATATACAAAATACTATTGCAAATGTATATGTTATTATGATGAAATTATTTTAATGTTTTGTTTAATAAGTTTTTATATTTGCACGCCTACAGTGTGGCAGAATATGGCGTGGCAGGAATGGTGTGAATTTACTGGGTACAGAGGAATAACACCTGAGTCCTCAGGAATGGCAACGCATGGGGGGTATCATGGGCGAAACAGTATACTCTGTTATGTCCATGGTACTGCTCATGTCTATAGGCGACGGTTACCACTTTCCATCAGGTGGGCCGTCAGCTTGTTTGCCATACTAAGTCGTATAAAAAAAAAAAAAAAGATTGGACTATTTTTCTTGTAAAGTAACACCTATAAAAATGTACCTTATTCCAGCAAATAAAGGATTTCAATTTCAATAATACTTTTCACTATAATAACAGTTAAAAGTAACTAATCTAACCGCAAATTTGCAGTCAAAACCCATTTTGACCAACCTGTTGAGTCAAAAGTACTTTTAACTGATTTTGCTTGTCAATAGTACTTTTGATTAGGGGAGGAAAGGGATTATTAGTAATGGAGACTGAGAATCCCATTGCTAACAATATACCCAACCTGGTCGACCTCCTCGCGGTTCCCCCTGGAAACTGTCATGGTTAATTCCTGATGAATTCATCATGATGGGCTAACTGGCCTGTTTTCATTCTCATCTATCACCCTTCACTGGTGCTCCGCCAGCGTATCCCGTTAGCGCAGGCGGGGTTACCATACCATTTTCACCCATAAAAAAAAAGTACTTTTGATTGGTTAAGAGTTTTAACTGCAACATATACAAGGAGTTTATACAGAATGTGTATATACAAAAGGCTGCCTTATCGCTAAAAGCAATCTCTTACAGACAACTTGGCATAAATAGTTGATAAGTACAGAGAGAAAGGTAGATGGCGCACGATACTGCCTTAACCAGATACGGCCTTGTAGGATTATTTATTTATTTCAGTCGAAACAGCTTTAGATGGCCGTGTGGTCCCGGCATAGAACAGACCACCCCTTCCTTTCCAGTGGGTGTCGTAAGAGGCGACTAAGATAGCTTATGGTGGAAGGAACTATAGCAGCGTCCCTTTTGAAACATCACCAAATGCCTAACTGCGATTACCAACCCGCCTGCTAATCTTGGCAATTACTGGCAAAACTCCCCTTATGGGGGAGGCTATGTTCAGCAGTGGACAGTTAATGGTAGATACAAGAACTACACTGTGGGTACTAGACTACTTACAAATAAACTAATTAAATAAATTGTCATTTAGCAATTATACCATGGGAAAGGAAGGGGTGGCCTAGTCTATGCTGGGACCACACAACTTATACTAGTAGCTTACACTACAGCATAATCTAAAGTTTAGTATTAATACCAAGAATGCTTACCCTCATAAAGGTATGCTGCTATGTGGACTGGCGACAACACCGCCGAGTGGGGCTTTCTGGCCGCTTCGGTTCCCATGTGCATCTCGGTAGCCATGTCGGGTGTCAGCTTCTGCGGCTCCGACGTTGGAGGCTTCTTCAAGAACCCAGATGCCGAGCTGATGACCAGGTGGTACCAGGTCAGTGGTGTAACATTTAATTAGTAAGAAGTCTGTAATACTGGGTTTTTTATGCAAATTAGAATGGCAGACATGCTTTTTTTTATACAATTTAGAATGGCAAACAAGCTGACGGCCCACCTGACGGAAAGTGGTAACCGTCGCCTATAGACACGAGCAGTACCATGGACATAACAGAGTATACTGTTTCGCCCATGATACCCCCCATGCGTTGCCATTCCTGAGGACTCAGGTGTTATTCCTCTGTACCCTGTAAATTCACGCCATATCCCACCCTTCAAACCGAAACACAGCCATGCAAACACTACTGCTTCACGGTTGAAACACGAATTGGACAGAGGTACCCAAGCAATCGACTTTTGTACAAAGTCTCCCTCTGTTATAATGGTATATTCCATCATTATGCAAAGAAGGTTACATTAGGTTAAGTACTGTCGTAAGTACATTGTACGTTTGTGTGTACAGGCGGCTGCGTACCAGCCGTTCTTCCGCGCCCACTCGCACATCGAGACGAAGCGCCGCGAGCCGTGGCTGTTCGAGGCGGCCACCACCGGCCTGCTGCGGGACGCCGTCCGCCGCCGCTACGCGCTGCTCGACCTCTGGTGAGTGTCTACACTGTCACAGGATTTTTTTTATTATTCAACATTCACACGTATACGTATACGTACGGCGATTCCGTAGCCACCTGATGGTAAGTGAATATGACATATATATATATATATATATATATATATATATATATATATATATATATATATATATATATATATATATATATATATATATATATATATATATAATGTCCCCCTTACACAGGATTTACATGTTTGTATATTAAAGATAGTTAGAAAAATAAAATGAGTAATAATTAATTTTTAATTATTAATTTTTTTTTTGTCTATTCACAATTTCTATTAAGATACTCAAAGGTTGACTGAAAGAAATCCCTTTTATGGGATAAATCAGCCATTGTGCTTATTCTTTTCTTAAGAACTCTGTATCCTGTAATTTAAGATTTTATTGTATAATAAAGTGTTAGTGGAGATGTCGGTAGGGGCCGCCCTAGACGGACGTACTCGTATGTTGACCAAATAGGCGACGTGCTGAAGAAGGGCCAAATTAAAAGTACCCGTAACCGACGAGCGTGTATGACAAGATTGATGAATGTGGAAGAAGCGAAAGAGGTTTGTTTGAATCGAAGCATTTGGCGTTCCATTGTTTCTGCCTACCCTAATGGGAGACAGGCGTGACAGATATGTATGTATAAAGTGTTATAAACAAACACTAGTAAATGTCAAAATAATTATTTTTAGAAATTATGTATGTCTGTACATTTGTTTTAGCAATATGCAAAAACTTCTGCATCAAATTGGATGCAGCTTTTAAGTTGAATTAACCTAAAAAAAAGCTTTATCTTGATACACAATCCAGAATGTTTTTGTTTTTATACTTTCGAAATTTGTGCATATAAATGATAAAAAAAGCGACTTATGTTGCAACTCTAGCATTCAAAAAATTTGTAAAACTAAATATCTATGTTCTTAGGTACACACTGTTCTTCGAGCACTCCAGAGATGGATTACCTGTAATGCGGCCGCTGTTCCAACAGTACCCCAAAGAGGAAGCCACCTTCACCATCGACAATGAGTACCTGCTGGGTAAGTTCACTCAAAAGAAACATATCAAGCGACTTTTATGAATATTGATAATCACAATAAATTCAAAAGCAAACAAGGGAGGAAACAAACAAAACAAACCAGAGGGAGACTTTGTACAAAAGTCGTTGCTTGGGTGCCTCTGTACCATTCGTGTTTCTACTGTGAAGCAGTTGTGTTTGCATGGCTGTGTTTCGGTTTGTAGGGTGGGATATGGCGTGAATTTACAGGGTACAGAGGAATAACATCTGAGTCCTCAGGAATGGCAACGCATGGGGGATATCATGGGCGAAACAGTGTACTCTGTTATGTCCATGGTACTGCTCATGTCTATAGGCGACGGTTACCACTTTCCATCAGGTGGGCTGTCAGCTTGTTTGCCATTCTAAGTTGTATAAAAAAAAAATCCAAAATATATCTCGCGTAGTTATAGATTTGCTAAGATGTTGAAATAAAATAATTGGTCAGCAGCAGTATACATATTTTGTCTTAGTCTTACATAGTTACAATAGACATAGGTAGATTTCATGTTAAAAGAGGAATGCAATAAAGTAATACACAAGAATTGTGAAGGGATTGTACATAGTTTTTTAAAGCATTTTTATGAGACAATTGGTGACCTCTTTCTTACAAGTTGGCGTTACTAAAAACTAGCATAAAATTTATTGCAATATTGCATATTGCAATGTTTGTTAGTTTGTTTCAGTCAAATATTTCAAGTTGAGTTACAAACAACCAGAAACAAAGTTGTTTTTGTTTAAAATTTGCATATGTTCTGCATATTTCTAATCTCAATACAAAATGCAGTAAACAATATTGGAATATTTTTAAAATGGCCGCAGCCACAAGATGGCGGCATAAAAGCAATTGTTTTTAAACAGACTTGGTATCTTTAAAAAAAACACTTATATTAAATACATATATTAAACTTCAATTAATGATCGCTTTTTGATTATTTTCCATTTACCATAAGAATATATAAATGTGTACAGGAGACAGGCTGCTAGTCCGTCCAGTGGTAGAGTCCGGTGTGACCTCCGTGAAGGTGTACCTCCCGGGAGCGGACACGCAGACTCTGTGGTACGACGTGGACAGCTACCAGCCGCACCAAGCTAACGGGTATTTCACGCAGGAAGTCAACATTGCTAAGGTTCGCTGTCATTTTCTTTTTGAAAATTAAAGACTTAAATAATTGCTGTGATTTTGTGGCACTTATTTTATTAAAGAGAGGCTCTTTATATTTGTGCGAGAATATAAGTGGACTGTATGTACGATAATTTTTTTGAAAGATTTGTGAATGCGAAAACCGACCAGTTGTTTTAAAAGTACTACTAAACTACCTAGATTCAAACTTAGTTCAAATGACTTACCCTTTGGTTAGCGAAAATTCCTTTTACAACATACTCAGATCACTCAGTTCCCTAAAGCGTGCTAAAGTTACCTGAGATTACCTCTTAAATGTTATAAGAACTAAGGGTTTCGATCTTGAATCCTCCGACAGACGTTTCAATCTTGAATTGTCTTTTTAAATATTTAAGAACGACACGAGAAATTATCTTTTGCGTAGTTCTTTTTATAAAACAAAAATATTAAATTCTAAAACTAAAGTCTCACGATTGTGAAATTAAATGTTATACTTATTAAATACTTTATGAGCGACAACGACAAAACTGTCCTGTTTCTGTATTTAAGAGCAGAGACCAACCAACTTTTTTTTATCTTCCTACCTCCAGTCAAAATTATTAATTGCCACATAGAAGAATAAAATATTTGTATAAATTATCGAGAATGTTGCCATGCAATTATTACATCTAAAGTGAACAATATTATATAATGAAAATGGAATATAAAGAGTTCGCTTTGTGATTCATGGTAAAATGTAGTGAAAATGGATGCAAGTTTGAAATACTTCCCTATTCCAAACTTACTAAGTTAATTATGTTAAGGAAATCTGATTTGGAAATAAAATATTTGACATTTAGAAAAAAAATTGTTACGTTTATTCATTATCATCATCACCATCATATAATTGTCCACTGCTGAACATAAGCCTCCCCCATAAAGGTTTGGCTTATAGTTGCCAAACTTGGCAGGTGAGTTGGCAACCGCAGTCAGGCTTTGGTGATGTTTTAAGAGAGACGCTGCTGCCCATCCCTTAACTATTAAGCTCCCTTATTCACCTTTTTCGACACCCACGGGAAAGGAAGGTGTAGCCCATTATATGCAGGGATCGGTATTATAACACCTAATTCAATAAAAAATAAGGTTCAATTTCGTACAGACGCCGGTGTACCAGCGCGGCGGGTCGGCCGTGTGGCGCAAGGAACGTGTGCGGAGGTCGTCCTCGCTGATGTCGCACGACCCCTACACGCTCGTGCTCGCGCTTGACTGGAATGTGAGTATTACACTATGGGGTGGAGTTCTTACTAGATGATAATGGAATGGTAACCCCGCTTGCGCTGACGGTATACGCTAGCGGGGCACCAGTGAGGGATGATAGGTGAGAATGATGCAGGTCAGTTAGTCTATGGTGATGAATACACCTGGAATTCAGCAAGATGGTTTCCAGTGGGGGACTACGAGGAGGTCGACCTGGTCGGGTATATTGCTAGCAATAGGCTTTTAGTCTCCATTACTAACTATCCCTTTCCCCCACTATGGTGGAGTTGGATCGAGTGTTTATTTCCCCTAGTATTTTTACCCACGAGTAGATAATGATAATAAATGAGATGACTTTTCAGGAGGGGAGGGGGGGGGGGGACTTAAATATCTATATTTTCTCAGACATGTCTTACGAAGCTTGGCTCGCATTGGGCACTGGATGATTTTGGGGTGAACAATCCCTGTTGACTCTTTAAATGCACCTACGGTAGCGGGGATAGATTAAGTAGTCTATATACTTTTCCGCCACAAACAGTATGTGTACCAAATTTTATAGTGATTGTACATACATACATACACATCTGTCACGCCTGTCTCCCATTAGGGTAGGCAGAAACAATGGAACGCCAAATGCTTCGATTCAAACAAACCTCTTTCGCTTCTTCCACATTCATCAATCTTTTCATACACGCTCGCCGGTTACGGGTACTTTTAATTTGGCCCTTCTTCAGCACGTCGCCTATTTGGTCAACATATGTCCGTCTAGGGCGGCCCTTACCGACATCTCCATTCATTCTTGCTCGATAAATCTCTTTCGTAATTCTTCTTTCATCCATCCTCTCCAAATGGCCGAACCAACGCAACATTCCTTTTTCGATTTTTGTCACTACATCGTCTTTCAGTCCACACTCCTCTCTAGTCACACTGTTTCTTACTCTAAGTCGTTAAGGCATCAAGAAGCGACGAAACATATTCTCTTTTATATTTATAGTATTATTAAGAATCGTATACATTAAGTAAATGCCACCAAATTTTTAAGACACAATTTTTTATTCTATTTTCGTTCAAAAGACGGTATTTGTTTTTATTCTTGTTAATGACTAGTCATTCTAGACAAGTAGCAAACAAAACTTCCGGTAGATACGTTTTCGTAATCTCAGTCGTGAGAAAGAACAGTATGCCGGACGCTGCTACCATTATAACTGATCATCATATATCGAAAACGTATCTATCGTTGCGTATGTATGAGAATTATTATTTTAATTCGTTTATTATACACGGCAGAACACATCGGAAGGCACTCTGTACATTGACGACGGGGAGACCTACGATTACAAGGAGAAGAAGTATATTTACTCAAAAGTGAAGTACACACCAGAGGGCATTACTTACTCGTAAGTAAAAGAAATATTTAAAGTAATACATGTCGAAAAAAAAAAATTACAAGAATTGTGTTATGTTAATTTTCACTGAATCATTAAAAAAGAAAAAAAAATATGGATTTTTGCAATTTGGGTAATATCAAATGTTCCAGTTGTTTTAAACTGATGCTGGTGATCAGTAAGATTAAATTTGACGTATTTTATTTTTCTTTATATGCTGCCATGTATAGGTCTACTGCGAGGTCCAATTGTTGCCTCATAAGTCTATCAGTTGTAAACCAATTTATACTACCTACAAATTTACAGATTCGTCCCTTGAAATTATTTAACAAACTCATTTCATAAATTAAAATAATATAATAAATTATTTTAATAATTACATATAATAGTAAGTAATACTGTTTCCATTTATTGTACACACATTGCCCGCTGGAAATTAATGCTTCTTTCCACTTAGGGTTTGCTGGAAGAGAACACTTACAGAGTTAACTCTGCTCGCCTGTTGTACATCTTTATTTAAAGTAAATTATAACAATATATTTTTTGTGTACAATAAAGTATAAATAAATTAAATAAATAATAAATATCTGAAATGGCAAGAATGTCCGCATAACAAATATTGATTTAATTAAATTTTTTTTTTTTATTTAGCACTGAATTGTACACACTAATTATAAATAAAAATATGACAGAGGTAAGCAAATGTACAAGGACGAACTTAACTCTAGAAGTATTCTCATCCAGCAACACCCAAAGTGGAAAGGAGCGTCAATGTCAGCGGGTAGAGCGGTGTAAAATTGTGACAATCCTCAGACAGTAATAAAATAGTAATAGATAAAATAGTTATTAAAACAAAAAAAACATCCACAGATTCATCGACGACAGTGCCTCGTATCCCACCCGATCGTGGGTGGAGCGTATCGTCATAGCGGGCTTAAAGACTCCGCCAAAAACAGCCAAACTCAGCCAGAACGAGAAACAAACAGCCCTGCTAATGACGCTGCACAAAGGCAATGATGTGCTCGTAATAAGGAAGCCTGGTGCCAGCATGGCTAAACCTTGGAAGATAACGTTCAGTTATTAAAATTGATACATGTGCATACTTACTGGTGTTTTAATGAAACTTAGATATGATATTAGGTAATTTTAAATTAATACAAATGTTTTAGTATGTTGTTACCAGCTGTAAACACAAATTTGTTTGTGCTAGATTACTTATATACAAAATATAATTTTGTTTAACTGTGATCGTGCAATAGAAATACCTTTTCAAACTTTCACATACATTAAAGGTCCTTTAAATTAAAGAGTTTGTATTATTAGTTAGTATTTTTAACATTATATGAAATAAATACACTGCCAGGTCCTAAACTAATATAGATTTAAAATCCTATACATCATGTTTGTTAATAAAAAAAAAAATATTCTAACTGGATTTTGTGAATTAACTACGTGAAATTAATTTATATGAAATTTTATTCAAATAATTGAGTAAAAGCCAAATTTTCACATTTGTGTTCATTAAAACGCCAATAAGAGATTTTCAGACTTCAAAGAAGTCTTATGTCGTTGAATGTATTTCGATATGGGGAAGCCGGTGGTTTGATTTGGGGTGTAAACAGCCAAGATTGTCAATACAACTTACAGTAGATTGTATACTCTAACTGCATGTCAATCTCGGTGAGTTGCCACTCTGCTGTATTTTTTTTACGGCTTGCGATATTTGTTTACAATGATAACAATCGAATTCAGCACGTTGTTGACCAAGGGGACCGGTGTGGAGGTTTGCTAACGAAGCATATACCCTGTTAACAGTAAATTACAGTAATAGATAATTCACCCACCATCCTTATTATGCTATATGAAATTACTAGTTTTACTGGCCACTTTATTTCCTCCCCTTTAAAGGTTGGTATAAAACGTAGTTGATATCCTTTTGTGCAATTCTCATACCAAATTTAATCAAAATGGACTTAGCCATGAAAACCAAGCATTTACTTTTATAAAATAGACAAATTATAACTTCATTATTTATTTAACTTGTATTTTTTAAACATATTTAATTACAATATTGATCAAGTTTGAGATGCGAATTTTGCATAACCAACTCTCTTAAAAGCTAGGCAAACAATATTCGGACGTAATTTACTATGACGTCCCACTTCTATAATGTAGTATAATATAATGTGGCAACTCACATTAGTCCCCTATGCCATTGTGAAAGTTTAGCCAACTTTTTTTATACTTTGATATAGCAATACGTTATTTACAATCCAGTCAAACGTAGATTCAATGTCATATAGAATAATATAAATATAGTACACAATATGGTAAGATAATAAAAAAAATAGTATGACACATAATATTATGTATACTCTGTTTTTATATATACTTGGCATACTTACAGTATTTAAACAATTTACACACCTATTAATTTAATCATTAAAAATAAACACTAATCCAAAAACATTGTAATAAAAAAGTAAAACAAAGTGCAATTATTATAAATAATATTATTTAAAATTAATTAAAAAATATTTAAGCCGTTTGTTAATTTTATACGCTGTAATTTCCGTAAAAAAATGTCAAATTGCCTTTTATATTAAATATGCCAAGTGAAACAGTTGTTGATGCATAAATCTCGACGATGTCTCATTTTTGTCACATTCGTGACAATTTTGAATATGTTCTTGTCATACTTAGTATTAAGTTTCTTTCAGATTTAAGTGACGTTTTATCTAATTGAATAATTGAACAATGTCATCATTTTATACAGTTACTTTAATGTTTTTTTTTTTATTAATCCAATTAAGGTCACATTATTGTCGAGATATATTCGTAATTCTCGTTAGCTGGCAGTGAAATGGTTAACTGGTTGTTTTGATTCACGCATTTTGTTTAGAAATAAAGTCAAGATCAAAATCAATTGTATACAAAAATAGTAAACATTTTTTGTTTCTAAACAATTTGCGGTGGATACTAATTGAGCTTTGAGGGTATTAGTATTTTCTTGACGGGTACAGAAGTTTTATCATGCAGAGTGATAATAAAACAATTTTAATATTAATAATTTCTTTTATTTCTAAAAATCCAATAGATTGTAGTTTCATTAGGTACTTTGGGGCTATCACGCACTGGTGCCTAGTTTTACCTCTACAAATAACATCGCTTCCAAGCTTAAAAAAAAACTGTATTTTCTGTGGCATCTACGCATATCACAATTTATGTATATCCAGAAGCTTTCGTTTAATTTTTAAGAAATTCTAGTTAAATTCTGTTAGCAACGCGTGTCAAGACAGAAATGTCCATTAACATATAGCATGAGAATTCCTGATATACTGAAATACGGTATTCTTTGACTTCCAAATTTTAAAATTATAGAGACTGTAGGAATAGTAATGACGGAATTGTCACTATTATGTCATACATCGCATTAATATTGTATTATATTTAATGTCTGTTATATCATAATGTAATATACTGTTGGTTGGCCTATAAATAAATAAATCCCATAAGAGTGCCAAATGTCACCCTTGTGACATTGTCACTAGTACCTCTTTTATATAGCTTTTATTTTCAATTATATCGAATTTTGCCACCGGTTAGTGACAATTCCGTGCCTCTAATAAGTAATATTATGTCAGTGAATAACTTCTATTTTGATAGAAAAAAAATATACGAAGTCGTCCGCTTGAAACGACATTGTTTTTCTGCGTCTCTTTAAACGAATTGCAACTTCTGTAAGCACCGATATTAGAGCACTCTTAGTTCGCCAGTGATTTTATAAAAATATCTTGATAATAAAAAAAGTTCCACCCTCTTTTTATTGTATTTGGATGAAATTGTATTTTGAACTTCATCAGTAGCGTTATGTACCCAGACTATATTTATTTACAGACATTTGGAAATTTACAAATTGATAATTGTTATAGAAATATAAAAGTAATGTAATAATTGGCTATAGGCTTTTTACTTCTTTTTTTATACCACTGAGATGGCAAACAAGCATACGGCTCATCTGATGGTAAGCGGTTCCCGTAGCCTATGAACGCTTGCAATACCAGGGGTATTACGCGCACGTTGCCGACCCTGAAAAAACCTCTTTACCCCCTCTTTTGAAGAACCCTATACTATAGTCTTTTAGAAAAACTTCGACAGGGAGGTTAGTTCATAATAATAATAGTCGGTCTTCAAGTGTTACCAGTCGCAAATATATTATAGGTAGCGAAAACTAATTAAAATAATTTAATCGACTAACTCATTATAATATTAAAATATAATTTTAATTATTTCAAATTATTCCTTTACAACGCTCTAATTCACATAGAGTAGGCTTTTGAAGTTAATGTTTTGCGCATATACTGTTTTTTTGTTAGGTCCCTTTTTCACTCCGTTGTCGCCGCATTTGCGACATTAAAATGCTAAGAATAAATCCACTGTCGCGGCTACGACGACACGGTTGTTTTACTGACTCGGCACCCTTTATAAAATAGCTAAGAAATAAATGTTTTATTGCAACTATTCCATTTTTCTTTTACATCACAGGGCCTCTAGACAAGTGGCAAGCGAATTCGTCGATGGAGTAGACATCGCTAGCGAATCCGTGAGAAAGAAAGAGATGGCAACGCCGGGTGACTATTTCAACTTACGGACTTATGTTTTTTTTTTTTTTTATACTACTAAGAATGGCAAACAAGTTGACGGCCCACCTGATGGAAAGTGGTAACCGTCGCCTATAAACATGGGCAGTACCATGGACATAACAGAGTATACTGTTTCGCCCATGATACCCCCCATGCGTTGCCATTCCTGAGGCCTCAGGTGTTATTTCTCTGTACCCAGTAAATTGCTAGCGATGTCGATTCCATCGACGAATTCGCTTGCCACTTGTCTAGAGGCCCAAATATGTATATGTAACTTATATAGTGCTGGAGTTATTGGTATCTTCTATGAGTTACTAGGCTGGAGTGCAAAGGGTTAATATATTTTTATTGTGATAGCCAGTGTGGAGAGTCATGAACGCGAATAGTATCAAAAATATTTCATACACAATTTTCATATATTTCTTAAAAACAATAAAACACTCTAGTTCCCTATATTTAATTATGTAGGGTGTACTGTAAAGGTCATATTGAAATCATTAGCATTCTTCTAAGGGAGTTTTTTTTTTTAATGGGTGAAAATGAAATAGTGACGCCGCCTGCGCTATCGGTGTACACAGGCGGAGCATCAGTGACTGATGATAGGATAGGACTGAGCTAATTTCCTCTCATTATCATCAGTGACTAATGGTGATGAAGGTAAATTAGCTCAGTTGGCCCATCGTAACTAATTCAACATAAACCACGAATTTCCAGGGGGAACAGCGCGGAGGTCGCTTGATAAGGAGTAGTTAGACCTCATCACTAACAATCCATTCCTCCCCGCTCCTCCCCCAAGGAAGTATTATACCAGTGAAATTGAACTTCTATTTTCTAAGTATAATGGATTGAAAAACAGTCCAACTATTAAGTTAGTGGGAGTCTCAAAAATTTTACATATATTGGCCCATTTCTTTCAAAAGGGTAGAAAACTCCTTTAAAAACACGCTAATAGTTTAAATTCGATTTGTATATCAAGACGAAACCCAGTAATAGTATTAAAAAAACAGCCTATATATAAAATTATTTTTAATATTACATATAAACCATGCAGTCACATGATCGATTTAAAGGTTCTTAATTTATATGTAACGACACATTTCTTAGGAAAATTAATTCATTTTTATAAATAGATACTGCAATTTACTGAATTTCAACTTGTTATACCCATTACCACACCACACCCTGTACATATAAAAAATTTAAACAATTTCTTGTTTGAAACATGTTTAAATAACTAATATGAAATCTTAGACTAGTCAACAATGGCAAATAATTTTCCCTCATAATATGATAAATCACAGTTCTAATTAAACTAAAGAAAATAAAACAATTGAATTTTGTTGAATTTAGAATTAAATGTAACTTTTTTCACTGGAATCGGCATCTTCCAGGACGCTTGTATGTATTTTAAGTTCGCAGTTTTATCAAAAGGGGACCTAATAACCGCGTATGACAATAATCATAATGAAAAACAAGGCGTTATGTAAGTATCAACTTTTGTTTGAACTCTAGTATATATTACTTTCAAACATATATTACAGCTTGTTTATAACATACTTATTCAGATAATTCGTGTCTTACAAGTTTGTGTAACGTGGAAAGTATCGTATATAACAAAAAAAAAAAAAATATGAAACAGCAAACACATAGGTACAAAGTAAGTCACAAATTGCCAGTCTTTGTAAAATTCTCTATATAGGCAAGTATTTATTTGAAAAATATTCTAGTGGGTTGATCATCATTGGGAAATTCTATGAAGGGATGAGTCTGTTTATGTTCTAGCATTTCATTTTCGGAACTAAATTTATCACCACAAATATCGCAGGGCACTTCAACACTAGTTTCACTGTCAGTATCCTTTTTAACTTTCTTTCTCTTCTTAACACACTCGTCTTTCGATGTCGACTGCCCTTGTTCAATCAAAGGCTTGCCCGTAAGCAGAAACTCTTTCATATTTGAATGTTTTACCGATAATTTGTGTTGCTTGAGCCGATTTTCTGAACTGCACTGGTACTCGCAAATAAAGCACACGTATTTCATATCTCCTGTATGTAATTCGGCGTGCGCTTTCCTCTTTTCGGGTGTGGCGAAGCGGAAGTCGCAAAATTTGCACGGATACTTCCTGTCTGGTGAATGCAGCCGCATGTGTGAATTTAACGCGTCCATGTCTTGGCAAATTTTTCGACATTCTAAACACATTACGCCCTTTACCACATCCTCCGATTCTTCTTTGGCCTCGGTGCTGTGATGTATCCTTCTGTGAGAAGTTAAACCTTTCTGACTTATGAAAACGCGGCGACAGTCGGCACATTGAAACTGGGACTCTGGGAAAATTGCTTTAGAGTCATTGCTATGTTTTTCTATCTGATGCAGAGCCAGTTTATCTGCCTCGTGAAACTGCAGGCCACATTCCTCGCACTTCCAGGCCTTAACCAGCTTAGAGAACGCTTCAAGAACATCCAGAACAGATTGACCTTCTACTTCTGGGTGATAAGTTTTTGTATGATTGCCAAAGTCAATAATTTTCGAAAAAGTACCATAACAATGAGGGCAACTATAGGGCTCCTTGTGATCTTCCATCACATGAGATTTCAACTCTGAGAGTTCAGTGTAACTCTTTGCACACATAAAACATCGCAACTTCTGTTTGCCTTTAACAATTTCAGATATAACTTTATATTCCATGAGTTGAACTTTTTGGTGTATCTGTAAATGTTTAAAGAGCTCCTTTCTTGTACTATAATCTGTTGGACAGAATTTGCAAGGGAATTTCTTTCGATGTAACCGCTTTCTGTGTAATGCCAACTCATCTTTGTCTCTAAATTGTTTTCTACAAGTTAAACAAGGATAACGAGAGTTTGTGTCTAAGAATAGGTCGTGTGATCGCAAACAAGTCTCCATTCTACTTCTGCGACGGAAGGTCTTGCCACAGGTACATTCGTATCCTTCCTTTTTTATTTCCTTTACCTTGACATCTACTTGAGTTACCTTTTCATTCTTATCTTCCACTTTATTACTTTGGTGTTTTGATTTCGTATTTGATTGACTTGTCTTAGGTTTAATTTCTACTTTAATTAGTTTCCGACGTTCCTTCTTGATTTTTGATTCAAGTCGTTTAGACTTTTCTTGCTTACCAAGTCTCTTTATCAAACTCTCGTTTAGTTTCCGTTCAAAATTTTCTTGCCTTGTTCTTTGACCTTTGATGATTCCCATTGCCCTTTTTTCAATACCATCATGCACATTTAAATGTCTCTTTAATGCATAATTACTTGTGAGTGTCTTAGGGCATTTTGAACAGGCATAAAATTTAGGAGTTACCTGTTTTGTATTTGTTTTTAATAGACCATATGCCTCTTGTTCTAATGACAAAACATTCCCCGTTATGGAATTTAATTGAAACATATCATTGTATTGATCTGAATCGTCATATGTTGTAGGCAATATTTCTTCAGGGTTGCCTATCTTTGACAAAGCAACAGACCCATGAGGCATGGGGAGAATCTCCATAACTAATGTTTTAGTGGTTTGTGATTGGATTAACCCATCCTGCGGGTTTGTTATAGTTGATGTGGTATTGATCACTTTATTGGATATCAAATGAGTTTCTGTTACTGTTAACTCTGCTTCTTCTTTTACATTAAGTTTACCCAATACTTCTTTTTCATGATCCTTAAATAGATAATGATTACCAAGATTAATTAGTGATTTAAAATTACATACATACATACATATCTGTCACGCCTGTCTAGGTAGGTAGAAACTAGCTAGGTACTAAACTACCTAGGTAGCTAGGTAGGCAGAAACAATGGAACGCCAAATGCTTCGATTCAAACAAACCTCTTTCGCTTCTCCCATATTCATCAATCTTTTCATACACACATGATTTAAAATTAACCTAAATAAATTGAGCTATACAGTACATTATATGACTGGCATTTAAAACCCTGTTATAACTCAAAACCCCACTAATAATAGAAAAACTTTATCAACTACTATAATGATAGTTATTGTGGATCAGCAACGCGTGCGTAATACTTCTAGTATTGCAGGTGTTCATAGGCTACGGTAACCGCTTACCATCAGGTGTGCCATATGCTTGTTTGCCACCTCAGTGATATAAAAAAAATTTTAGTTACTGTTGTAACTTTAGATTGTTATTCAGTTTAAAAATGTAGAAATTATACTTTTTGGAAGATATATACAGTTTTATATTTAATGTAACAATATATTCTATTCTGCATATCAAAATTGGCATAGAATTTGAACATTTATCGAAAATTGATTATAAAGATGGTAGTATAGGATAAAAAATGCCAAAGTCAGCAGATATCTGTGTAAATATTTTCACAGAATACTTACTAAAAGAACACCTTCTGTTTTTATATTGATTTCTTCTTGTAAACATGTTTCCACATTGCCTAAGACTGCTGCATCTCTGCTGTCCATACTGCCTGTGTCATCAAAATTTGGATAATCATATGTCACAACCGATTCATCAACAGCACCAGTTTCTTCTTTCACTTCCATATTATTCTCCATTTCTGTTGCATCCACTTCTTCCCTCTCATTTTTGGTCATGTCCTCATAGCCTTCTATATCTAAATTCTGAGATAGTACAGGTAAATTTACCATTATATTACTATGTGATGGGTTCGTTGACATATCTTTCTCATAACATGGATAAATGGTTTCTTCCTTGATTTCCAATTGGATGTTCTCAAATTCATTATCACCGTCTTCACGCTCATCATCTTCTTCGCTCTTAATATGCACAGTTATGTTTGTTTCTTCTCTTTCTAATTCTTGCTTAATATCTGGATTTTCAGGTTGTTCTAATTCACTAGTGATCTCTAACGTGATATCTGTATTTTGCAGAGCCATTATGCTGTGCTGTAATACAATTTACATAATAATAAGTAATTATTTTAACTTTACTATAGGGTGGTGCACTTTCAAAAGAGTTACCTATTTCTGAACTATTTTGAAAATTAAACCACAAAAATCTGGTGACAGATGCCAGGTACAAAATGCTGGTTCCCTTAAAAGCTTATTGTTAATGAAACCACTCCGTGTAATTATTTATTAATTAATTTTATATATTCTTTATTCTTTATTGCACTTGTAAGTTACATATAAAATAATCTATTTATAAATGTTGTGAGCAAGGGTGGACTTATCTCTGACAGAGATCTCTTCCAGTCAACCCAGTACAGTAAGAAAGCATTTCGTTAGCGGACAGCTGAAGTGCTACAACTATTAATACATAAACAAATATACAGTTAAATAAAATATTAAAATATATAATAAAATATTACATAAATACATACACTATAAATATATACAATACCTACCTACTTATATAGTATATGTTTTTCTTATATTTATTATCTAGTATTTATAATATAGTATAAACTTGCTCAAGGACTAGTCGATTGCAGTGAATGGTTGAATTATTTTTTATTTGTCTATTTACAAAACAGCTTCTTAAAGCTAACAAATTATTTCACATAAAATACAATAAATTTTATATTAATTATTCAACACCAGAGATGTTTTTATTAATGTTGCATATTATAATAATGTTGTATTAATCATACAATTATAATTGTATGTATTAAATGTTATGTTTGCTAATAGAGCACTTTTCAAATAATAATTGAGAGACATTGAAATTTTAAAATTGTTTTTGAAAATTGACAGTTAATTGTGACGTTGCCATATTTCGCTATAATATCACCTCCGAATAAGATTATGGCTAATAAGAATTATGCAAATTAAACTTACAATTTTAGGATCCAATTTAGTTCCAATATATAATGCTATGTGAAATTATTTTTGAGCAGATACAATGTTGTGATGCTTGAAAACTGCCCTTATGGTTACCCATATCTTTCAAAAAATAATATCAATATTATCAATTAATTAAGTTCCGAATAACAGCGCCTGCAATTAGTATGTTACCTTCAACCTGTGTAACTACATACATTACAGCAGCGCTCTTTAATAAAATAAAATATTGTACTACTTATTTTATTAACAACCATTTACTTACTTCATTTTAAATAATTTAACCAAATAATTACAAGAAAGATAGAAAAATTAGTTTTTTTAGGCAAATTATCAAAGCATCAGTGGCGAAATATTTCGATCCGACTGTGCATTTTGACATTGACATTTGACAGTCTTTACCAGTCATTCAAACGCACACAGATAGCCATCAATCAATATCAGTCCAACAGTTCCTTGTTCTTAGTTGATTTTTTTATAAGTGAAAATGGAATAGTAATTCCATCCACGTTATTGGTGTACACTGGTGTGAAGGATGATAGATGAAGTTGGACGGAGATCCGTTTCGTTTGATGTTTAGTGTAGTCAATGTAATTCTTTAAGCAGTCTATGGTATAGTCTATGTGTTTGATGTCTGTCATTCTGGCATATGTCAACCATGTTCAAGTCGCTTTTATTTACTCTTGGTTTATTTTATTGTTTTATTATTGTACAATAAAAAAGGAGGCTCTATCCTACTTGGATACGAAAAACGGGGTGTGTATGCATTTCCACGAGACCCGAAAATAAAGACTGGCAGCACGCTCTCATTACTTAAATTTTTGCATTGTAGTATGCTAGGTTATGTATCAACCACTTCGTAGAATCTGATTACATGACTGAATTGGCTAACACTGGCACAAAATCACCATGAAAACGACATTTATTTATATTTAAAAATTTTACATTATATTTACACAATTTTTTTAAGTTACAGGATATTTTAAGTTATACAAAAATCTTAAAAGGTTGGCAATTACTTCTAATTTCCAAAATTCTCATTTAGATATTGTATAAAACAAATATTTAGACAGATCGCTATCAGACTTCTTAAACAAGCCACATTGTATTTATCTATCAGGTTCATCGAATTTGGAAATGGTAAGGACCAATATCTATAAAATTCTGTGCATTATTAGCACAGAGAGATTAAAACTATAGATATACAAATTATTAGAATATGATTTATGAATACAAAAAAGCATTTGATTATGAGAAAGAACTAATTAGACTTTTTTTAATAATAATAATAATTTATTTGCTCAAATATGGGTATTATAGATTATTACACCTCCATATTTTACCATAAATAGTGTGCAAATCTACTTTTAATATAAATGCTGGTTAAATTCCATTACTGTAGTCTCATATATCACAATGTCTTAATTATAATGGATTATAGAAACATAATAGAACTAAATGCAAACTTTGTGGTTAAAATTTACATGTAATACTACCCTTAGGACTAGTCACTGACTATAGTCAGCTCATTTTTAATTATTGGTTAATATAAAAAAAAAACAGACTCAAAAAGAATAATTAATATTTTTATCAGGATCCTGCAACTCTATCCACGAATATGGACTTAAAATTGGTTGTGAAACATTTAGTGAATGGTAATTTAGCTGAAAGCTTATGTTGTATTTGTCTCCAACTTTTAAATGGCAAAAGTGAGAATATTTTTACAAAAATATGTAAACAAAATAAGGAATACTGTATAGCTGATGTTCTTGAAGAAGTTTGTAATATTAAGGTCAGTATTTTAATATTATTTCCTTATTTTCCATCTCGTTTAAAAAAAAATAATAAAATCAGATACATCTCAAACTACATATTTGAAATCTATCTTAACTAAGGAGTAAAGAATATTCAGAAGTCAGCATTCATTCCCCTTTGTCTATGCTAGAAAGAACTTGGTGTGAATTGATAATTTATATGATTTTATGAATTTTACTTATATATAGAAAAAAAGTCCAATAAGATTATAAATGTAGAAGTGAGTTTGTTTGTTACCTGATAGTCCCTTAATGGTTTAACTATGAATTTTGGTATACACATAGCAGAAAGATATAGGCTACTTTTTGTCCCAGTCAGTAAACATGCCCAGGTTACACAGACAAAGTCGCAGGTAACAACTAGTTGTGTATAGTCATTTAATAATGATTTCTTTTTAATTTAATAATAACTGTTATAAAAAATAATGTTTAATCTATTAGTTAATAACAACACTTGCTATTAGTTTACAGAATCAGATCAGTACAATGTATGTTTGAAATGTTTTGCTGCAGCGTCAACTGCCTACAGATTCTATTTACTGGCAAAGCATAATTATGAGACTTTAAACCTTTATGTTAATGAACTGGAAAACAATCTAGAATCAATATCACTACCAGATGGAGCTATAGCAAATAAAACTGACAGTATTTGTATATCTTTACCTATATTAAAATCACAGACTCCAATATTTGACTATAGCATAGATAATATCATTACACAGAAGTATTGTGATAATACAAAGCGAAAAGACGTCGAAATAAAAGTGGAAAATGACATTAAAACAGAAAAGCCAGAGAAAGATGATGAATTTAATTATAAGAAAGAAGAGAGTAAAGTTAATGAGAGAGTGAAAGAATCAGATGATGAAGAAATTGTTATTGTTATGAGTGAAGATGGCAAGCAGACATGTTACATGCCTCAAAAGGATGGCTCTCTACTTTTGATCACACCTAATAAATTTGAAAAGGAAATCAACAGTTACAATGGGGAGAAGAAGCAGAGAAGAAAACGGGAGCCAATGACATATAAAAAATGTAGTCAATGCCCAATCAAGTACAGGTTCATAGCAAAATTAAAGGAGCACATGAAAGCTGACCATAATATTAGTTTATTTGTTTGTAAGGTAAGTTTTATTCAGTCCTTTTAAGCCATTAAGCGAGGTATGGCAGACAGTATGGCTGTTTCGGTATGAAGGGTGGGATATGGTGTGAATTTACAGGGTACAGAGGAATAACACCTGAGTCCTCAGGAATATCAATGCATGGGGAGTATCACGGGCGAAACTTTATACTCTGTTATGTTTATGGTACTGCTCATGTCTATAGGCGACGGTTACCACTTTCCATCAGGTGAGCCGTCAGCTTGTTTGCCATTCTAAGTTATATAAAAAAAAGTATTATATTTGTATTAAATAAAATTTTAGATATGCCAAGCCTTAATGGAAAATGAGGAGGAGTTTGCTCTCCATTTGAAGACACATACAAACATATACCAATGTGAAACATGTAACATTGTGTTCAAGAAGCGTGATACAATAATATCCCATTTGAAGTGGCATGAGGAAATGAAAAATATGAGTACAGTCGACGGCGCAAATGTATGTAAAGTGTGCGGAGACATCCTGAAGGATGAGGAAGACTTAAAAGATCACTGTGAGAGGGAACACAACAAGAAGTATACATGCTATTATTGTGGCCGAATGTACAAAGGTGAAACGGGTTTAAATATGCATATAAAGAAACACGAGATGTACATGAAAATACGGGATATGAAGTGAGTATTGTCACCTTTAGTTTATTCCTCTACAAGTAAATATCATTCCTAAATCAAAGGTAATGCTATGGCTTAGGAATTATTATTATTTTAATTTTATTATAAGCAGAAATAAGTTTCTGCTCAAAATAAATGGGTTCATTTAATAAAGTGATGGAATGGTAAAAAAAATATTATGCTCACGACTGCGGTCCATTATGAGGTAGTCGGAGCCATTTATAAGTATTTGTAGTAGGTAAGAAGACTTAAAAAGATATGAATGGACTGTGTATTGTCATTGTAACCTGTACCTACCCATCAATGAATTTGCATGCTTTAGGTCAGACCATAAAACGAACGTAACATACGTATATGTAAAAGTAGATATGGCCAGAATGGAAGAGAATGGGGAAATGACTGTGAATAGTGAAGAATGGAAGAGAAAAATATATTACGCTGACCCCAAATAATAATTGGGATAAGGGTAGGGAGATGATGCTGATATTTTTAGTAGGATTTCCAAGGAGTCCTCGCGGTCTCCTTGGAAACCGTCGTGGTTAATTTCTAATGAATTCGTCACGATAGGCAAACTGAACGGACTTCATCCTCTCCTTCATTTCTCATCATAACACACTGGTGCCTCGTCCAGCGTATACCGATATCACGCCTGTGCATACCATTCTATTTTCACTCATTAAAAAAAAACTTTACGACTTAAACTCTATTGGTGTGGCCTTTAACTGTCAACTGATGAGCATAAGCCCCCCTTTGGGGGTTTTGCTAGTAGTAGCCACGCTTAGCAACCGGCTTGGCAACCGCAGTTAGAGTTGGAGATGTTTTAAGAGGGACACTGCTGCCCATTCCTCGCCCTCCCTTAGTCGCCTCTTACGACACCCACGGAAAAGGAAGGGATGGCCTATTCTATGCCGGAACCACACAGAAATTTGTATAGTATTTATTATTAATTTCCAGATGTAAACACAACGACAAACGGATATCAGCCGAAGGCAGGAAACAGGTGAAGGTAGAAAAGACCCCAGTGGACACGAAGTTCACGTGTGAGACGTGCGGCCGGAACTTCCTCGGGGAGCGCGCGTTGCTATGGCACAATCGGCTGCACACGAACGAGAGGCCGTTCAAATGCGACGTGAGTGTATTTTTTTTTTGGCTTTTACTGCTCTCCATATCAATTTTTCTCAAATATCTCCCACTAGCAGCCCGTCCGGGCTTCGCACGGGTGGACATTTTTATAACATTTTAAGAAGTGGTTATTGTGACATAACGCTAACAGTTGGACATATAGTATCGCTAAGATTTTTGTAGTTATTGATATTTTCTTCAATATTGTAGAACATACTTTTGTTCTATCACCAATAGTTTCCGCAGCGCACGCGATGAAAGATATTTTATAGTATTTTTTTACACCTTGAGTTACGTTACTAAAGTTTTAGTAAGGATCCCTAATCTTTTCTAGGAATAAATATAGCCTATGTTACTCAGGTTGAATGTAAGCTACATTCTAATGGTGAAAGAATTTTTAAAATCAGCAAAGTAGTTTTTGAGTTTATTCATTACAAACATACATACACACAAAAATACATATCATTCCTCTTTTTAATATTAGTGTATTTTTAACCGACTACAATAAAAGGAGAAGCTTCTCAAATTGCTTGTATTTTTGTCTTATATTTGTTACCTTAGAACTCCGTCATTTATGGAGCAAATTGGATATTTTTTTATCTGAAGGGTTGTATTTTTGGTTCACGGTAAAATGGGTTCACTACTTCAATTTTTAAATGAAAATAGTTTTACCACGATTGAAGTCACTGTTTTTTTTTTGTTGAACAAAGTATTGTATTTGTAAGATTTCGCCACTTTAGTTTATCATCATATTAGCTATTTTTTTATGAGTGATAATGGTATGGCGACCCCGCCTGCGCTATCGGCATACATTTGCGGGGCACCAGTGATAGATGACTGTTGAGGACGAAAGCAGGTCATTTAGCCCGTCCTGACGAATTCAACTAGAATTAACCACGATGGTTTCCAGGGGGAACCACGTGGTGGTCGACCTGATAGGGTGTATTACTAGTAATGGGTCTGTTTGATCCCATTACTAATAATCCCTTTCCCACCATATTAGCCATTATCTGTCCACTGTTGACATAAGTCTCCCCCATCAACAGCCATAAGGAACAAGGTCGTTCCTTCTAGCAGTTTATCATTGAGTTGGATCACTTTAGTTACCTTATACGTATGCAGGTTTGCGGGCGCGGCTTCGTTTCGCTGAACCGGCGTAACCAGCACGCGGTGTGCGCCCACACTGTGCCCACCCGCCGCTGCCCGCTGTGCCCAGCTCTCTTCCACCTCCGCTCCATGGTCAACACGCATATAAAGAAGGTATTCAATATTGCTTACTTTATGGATATATCTTTTTTTTTTAATGGCTGAAAATGAACTGGTAACCCCGCCCGCGCTATCGGTATACACCTGGGGCACCAGTGGAAGATAGGTGAGAATGAATGCAGATCACTTGTTCCACCATGATGAATTCGACAAGAATTAACCATGATGGTTTCCAGGGGGAACCGCGTGGAGGTCGACCTGAGAGGGTATTGCTAGCAATGGAGCTATTAGACCTCATTACTAGCAATCCCTTTCCCGTTCGTAAGTTACCATCTCTTTTCCGCCTCCGCACCATGGGTAACGCGTATAGAGAAGGTAACATTCGTGGCTCGCTGTGGGCGACACAGTATTTTCCAAAATGTACTTACAACGGATTTCTTGCTGGCCTACATCAGGCTTTCAGGCCGATTACTTGTTTTTGATATGTAAAACGGCAAATAATCTGCCCACCTAATGGACATCACAGAATACACTTGCCGTTAGCTTGTACATTATTACAAGTATACAGTATACAGTACAACAATTATACAGTAGCATTGCCAGTACAATAATATTTTATTATTTCTTCAGCCACAGTCCAAGTCAGTGATTCTCAACCTTTTTTTTTTTTGTTGCGGCACATATTTAACGATTTCAATATATGGCGGCACACAAAGAAAAAGATAAAAATTATTTACTTACTACAACACACTGCATAAATAGTTTATGACAATTTTTTTTTAAATATTTCCAAAATTTGGCGACACACAAAAGTGCCGCGACACAGTGGTTGAGAACCACGGGTCTAAGTATTTGCACAGTATTACAATACTTGTGTCTTCCTCACTGTTGGCCGATGTATTCATATATTTTTTAGGTATATTAAAAAAAAATTATTAAAATAATAGTGCGCAGAAGCCATCTAACCTTTTATTTTAATGGATCGTGTTTTTATTAACCGATTTAAAAAAAGAATGTACTCAAATCACTTGATTTTTTTATATTTATTTCATTTTCCATACTTATCACTTATTATTATTTATTACTTTATAATTTCGTTATTTGTAAATTAATCCAAAAAATTGTTTGTTTATCTGAAAGGTTATGTTTTTAGATTGGATAGAATTTTTTCGAAATCGGTCCAGTTTTTTAGTTTTTAAAGCAAAATAACCGATTTTACTACGATTTAAGTCGTTTTTTTTTTGTGAAACAAAATCATAAATTATGTCTCATTTTTAAAGAACGAATTTCGAAGAAAAGACAAGAGTAGTCGTAAAATTGCCAGCAAAAAAAAATCATTATATTAATAAATTCCAATAAAATAAAATTTCAGGTACATTTAAAGACTCACAAGCGTAGAAATAGGACGAACAGACACAAAGAGGTGTTCTGGCACACTGAGCCCGTCCCCATACAGGAGCTGAGCGTGTCCATCCAGAACGAGATATTGGAGTTGCAAGCGGCAAAGGACGACACAGTTCCGATACAATATGTAAGTATGGTGTATGGTGAGGGAGGGAGACAGGTGTATTTATTTTTTATTTAACAATCAAAATTACACAGTTTATCGTTACAGACAACACTAGTGTTTCAAGTCTATGGTGGTTTTTTTTTATACAACTTAGAATGGCAAACAAGCTGACGGCCCACCTAAAGGAAAGTGGTAACCGTCGCCTATAGACATGAGCAGTACCACGGACATAACAGAGTATACTGTTTCGCCCATGATACCCCCCATGCGTTGCTATTCCTGAGGACTCGGGTGTTATTCCTCTGTACCCAGTAAATTCACGCCATATCCCACCCTTCAAACCGAAACACAGCCATGCAAACACGGCTACTTCACGGTTGAAACACGAATGGGACAGAGGTACCCAAGCAATCGACTTTTGTACAAAGTCTCCCTCTGCTGCCCATCCCTCGCTCTTCCTTACTCCTCTCTTAAGACACCCACTGGAAAGGAAGGGGTGGCCTATTCTATGCCGGGACTCGGGATAATAATGTAATAAATATAAAAATAAGTTTATATGGAGTAAAATGGACTAAATTATCATCTTCTTTTCAGGTACTGGCTGAGTTCCATGGCGAGGAATGATGTATGGAAGATCTAGACTAGTGGCAAACGATTCTAGCTCTGTTTTTTGTTTTTCTATTTATTTCCTCATCACGTTGCACCGTTAATTATATTTTGTGTTATTCCTGTTTACTGTTGATTGGTAGATACCGCCATATGGTGTTGAGTTCGCCATTTACACTATCTATGCGTATTAAAGTTTAATAAATAAATAAATAAATTTACAATCAGGAATGTGTAATGTATAACTCTATTTGAATACCATGCTCAACGACCTCAATGGTATTTTTATTTATTTATTTATTTATTCATTAGTACAAATATGTGTACATGGCGGAGTTAACGCTAAAAGCATTCTCTCCCAGTCAACCATAGGGAAGTGTCAGAATACTCGAATGCGGTACTAGTAATTATTGATATACATACATACTAAAATTACATATATAAACGAATAAATATATATAAAAAACAAATATACTTACACATATATGACATATACTATATTATACATGAAATTGAGAATAATCTCAACAGGTAGGTCTTAAGACGAACATGAACGAGACTAAAACCATGTCTAACGTCCATATCACACCTATACCGGTTACGATTGAGAACACTACGCTCTAAGTTGTCGATCAGTATGTATACTTGGAAAAAGTTGTCCGAATGGGTAAGGCCAACTTCGACCGAGAGGTCAACCGACGAATCCACCTCGGCTGGACAGCGTTCGGACGATTACGCCAAATCTTTGCATCCAAAATACCTTAGAGTTTGAAGACGAAGGTCTTTCATGCAATTTAAGGCAATGCTCGGAGCCTCTTTGCGTGATAAGATCTGAAATGAGGATATTCGCAAAATATCTAAAATAACCGACGTAGCCCGAAGGATAAGCAAGCTGAAGTGGCAATGGACTGGTCACATAGTTCGAAAAATCGACAACCGATGGGGAAGAAAGGTTATTTACGATTTTATTATATGTATTGATTTTTTAAACATTTTACTTGTAAACGTATAATAAAAATGAAACCATGAAACTATTGCGATCTAATTTACTGTTTTTATTTTATGACTGCCATATTGTTTGTGTGACGTCATATTGTCTATGATGCTATAATGACATACTATTGCGAGCGAATAGTGAAAATTAAATAATGAACATTAAAGTCTTTTTGTTGGCCAATAACTATAGAAATTGTTGCGTTTGCCACTTGTCTATTATATATTGCAGTGAATATAACCAATTATGTATTATAATTCAGTCAAATATTATGAATAAATAAAATTAATTTATTTTCAAAATCGTTTTTATTTCCAATGTGTAGTTATAATCCCTACATAGGAGGGGAGAGGAGGGATGGGATTGTTAGTAATGCTGGTAGTGGACTGGTAATCCATCAGTCTTATTGCTAACAATATAATATACCTTGACAGGTCGACCTCCACGCGGCCTCTTGGATGGTCCTGTTGAATTCCATCTTCATTCATCACCATGGGCCAACTGACATTTCCTTCACCTGTCCTTTCTCAATGTACCTAGCCAGCGTATATCGTTAACGTAGGCAGGGTTACCATTTCATTATCATCCATTAAAAAATCCATATACTGTGTAGTGTGTTGTTTTTTATCTGAAAGGATATACTCACAGATTGGTCCTATATAAATTTTATTAAAATCGGTTCAGTTGTTTAATTTTTAAATCAAAATGATTAATTTTGTCACAATTGAAGATGCTTTTTTGTGAAACAATCTTTAATTATAATTGAACTGTCAAACCTTAAAATTATTCAACTAAATTTCTATTGTAGGTAGTATATTCATTTATTTTAACATCCATTGTATAAGTAGGTAGGTATTATATTTATTTATAGTATATGTATTTATGTAATATTTTATTATGTATCTTAATATTTTATTTAACTGTATATTTGTTTATGTATACTAAATATTAATAGTTGTAGCACTTCAGCTGCCCGCTAACAACATGCTTTCTAACTGCATTGGGTTGACTGGAAGAGATCTCTGTCAGAGATAAGTCCACCCTTGCTCACAATATTTATAAATGCATTACCAATGTAATTTACAAGTGCAATAAAGAATATAATATTTATTAATTTATATATATATTTTTACTTAGGCGATGGAATAACAACTCCGCCTTCAATAACAGTATAAGTACACTATTTTATTTAATAAAAGTCTTATTAAATCTATTTTGGTTTTAGCTTGTTATACCTATTAACCTGTTTAGCATAAATAGTACAGGGCAGGGAACAGACAACAGTAAAAACAAACAAATCATTTTATATATATACATTTATTTCGCTTTTTTTTTGTTCACTTTAAAATTGTTTTTCAACATATAATCAATTGGCTATCGATATATATACACGACTTACAAGACAAAAGGTCCATAGTACTACATTTGAGTCTTATCAACTAGGTGGAATCATTTCTTTAATAATAATATACACGAAACTATAATATAATTTGAATTTTCACAAAACAAGTAAACTGACGTCAAATTTTTGAAAGCAGTAAAATTACCATGGATGCTGGTTATAATTAAAATTCATTAAAACATATAAAATCGCTAATAAAATAACTATAATAACGTTCCATCACTTTTTTTAAATTTAAATGGTTGGTCAATAATTAAAATTAGACAAACAATACTAGATGGCGCTGGAATCGAGACTTGTGGTTTTTGTTGATTATTTTGTAATTAAAGATAAATTTAAATAACATTATTACATCGGCGTGTGGTTTTTATTATTATATACGAATGTAAAGTGACAGATAACACGCGAACTTTTCCTTGAATTAATTATAAGCCACACAGTCGCAATGTTTCTTACGAGTATGTTTTTTTACAAAATTGTACAATACAACAGAATAAAGACAAAAATTATGATAAATTATTACTATATTACTATAAAAAATAAATGAAACCACTCGCCTATTTAGAAATTTTGCTACAAATCGTCTTTAATTACAAAATAACAAAAAATTCAAGTTTTGATTCTAGCGCCATCTAGTATTTTGTATCGAATTTTGTTTAAAAAATTAGAAAGAGACGAAACACTTCAATAGTTAAAATATACTAGTATAAAAGTGCGTATAGACTAGGAGCATGATCATGTAATGTAACAAATACACATGTTGTGCTTACATTTTGACATGTTATATTACATGCGAATGCTTTAGTGAACATGCATCCTATTGACGTTTTGTTAAAAAGATAGTGTTAATTTTAGGACAGCATTTAATTTGTTTATTCAACCTGACAACATTTCCTATAATACCATTAAAGATTAAAAACAATGGTCACATTTTTACCGTATTTGGGATTGTCTATTATAGAGTATATGCTAAACAAGTAGTAAGTGTCAACTTACCACTGTCTTTTGAAATGAAGAATGTCATGAAGATATCAAAATTTGATGGAAGAAACCTTATTACTTCTGGACTATATTTATTACTTTGATTAACTCATCAATGCCATGCAGTTTGAGGGTCCAAGCTAAATCTATTTTATAAATTTTAATTTTAGGGGGAATTTTGCTTTGGTGAAAATTACATTTAACAATACTTTAAAATTATAATAGTTTTTTTTTCTAGTGAACATTAATATGCGCCTCTTAACATTTGATACATAGAATTTTCTCAACGAAACCCTTATTGAATTCGCGCCATCTAGCGATCTAAAGTATTATTAATGCTATATGAATTTTCCTGGTTTTTTAGAATTGCATAGAAGAAAATGTTGTCAGAATGTATAAATAACTTTCGAATACATGGGAGTTAGACTGTTCAAATATATTAAAAATAAATAGAACAAAGAAATTTCATAAAACTTCGAACTTTTATGAAATTTCTTTGTTGTGGGTAGTTAGACAAACTCATAATCTTAAGCAAAACTTGACGACCGGCTTGATGCAGCGCTTTAATTTCCAATGGGCGCGATTTCGATTCGTGCACAATACAAACATTTAACGTTTGTATGATGTTTTATAAATATAATATTTACAGGAAAAAGTATTTATCAGATATCTAATATAAATAGGTCACGTTCTGTTTAGTTTAGGACTAGGTGGTGATAAAAAAATATGTCCACTGTTATTTGTTACGAAATCTGTGATAACTTTTATTTGAAAAAAGCAACAGCTGTGTTTCCTGCCCGTTCTTCTCAGTTGAAATTGCATTCCGAACTGGGTGATAGATAAAAAAATGACTATTCAAAATCGCTTATTATTAAGTTTACTTGAAAAAAAAAAACAAATACATTTTTTATTTATTTAATGATACATAGTTGTATTGGGAATATCAAACAAATGGAATGGTCCACTTAATGGAAAGTGGCAGCTGTCGTATGTACTCTATTTTAATAGTTTTTCAGTAGACAATGGAAAGAAAATTGGTTTGTCTTTTCTCTATTTATATATTCTAAATGAAAATGCAAAGTATCACCACTGCTTTTCATCTTCAGAACGTCGTAAGAGACAATTATAGGAACAATGTATAATACATCAGTGCATTACACGAAACAAATGCCATGCACCAAGCCATAAGTCACGTTTGGTTAGCCAAGACATTGCAAATTAAAATTGTGATGTGCGATGTATACCAAATATGTAGTAGCGATAACATATCTATCGATAGATTCGTTGATCACTTGTCCAGGGCGGGTTTGTAGTTGTGAACCGTTATCATAAAAATTCCGTTAACACACATTAACTCCCATGTAACACCGACACCATAAGTACTAGAAGAATTGAATTTTGTGTAAAACATCAAATATAAATCATAATACAAATAATAAACATTTTTTTTTTCTTTTTTATTGTTTAAATTATTCTAAAGGCTCCGTTATAGCCCCATAAAATATAATTCCTACATCGCATAAAATAATATTTCCTCCACTTTGTACTGTCTAAACAATCGCAAGAACTGACTGTTTAAAGATACGAGCAAAGGACGAAAATTAATTAATACCCTGTATATAAAATATCAGACTAGTGTTGGTGAAAATATTTTGAGGCGAATGAGATCACATTAAAACAAAATTTAGACAAGTTTAATTATAATTATAATAGTAGATAACCTGATTAGATTTTATGGGATTGGCATGTGAAAAAACAAAAATCCCACATTAAAAGTAGATTAAAAAAACAACTATTTATCAACCAGATTTATCTATACAAATCTGGTTGACTTTTTATCGTTGAAAGTGGACATTTGAGATTGTTTAGTGGCTAAAATAGGAATGGGAAAAAGTACCCATGTAAATAACTTAAGTTTTATTATTCTCTAATAAACTTATTAATTAATTAATAAAAAAAAACCGTTATTTATTGTACTTTTATTATAAAAAAGTAAATAAGTTTCTTGCCCGTTGTTCTCAACTGAACGTTGCATTCCTAATGGGCGGTAAAATAATAAAAATGACTATTTATAAGAGCTTAATGTTACTTAATATAATTTAAACACAATTAAAATAATTAAAATTATAATTCAGTGTAATTAAATAAAAAATATTCTTCTCGAAACCAATAGCTGTGATCAAATTCTACTAAACTGTCCTATTTCATAACAGATCTTCGCATAGTTCTATTCAAACAGTTAGTTCTTGGGATAGCCAGTGTAGTATATAAAGCAACGGGCAAGAGATGGCGCTTTTTTAAAACACATTTCGATCTATATTCTTATAAAAATTAGGTGTCATTGAATACTGTTAATGTAAAAATGGTTTCTTTTATTGACCGTCAATTTATAGAATTGGCTCATTAAATTTATGAAAATATTACAAATTCCAATTTATTATAAGTTGCAACGAGAGTTGGTGAGTGTGAGCGAGATGGAAAATAGTTAATTGTTCCCGCTGCATCTCTTATCTACTATTCTTTGTTACTCCAAATAGGATGTAAGTAAGATGGCATATACGCTGAATGGAAAATTAGCGAAGTTTCAACTCAATTTCCTTGTTTATATTGTACTTCTTGAATATAACACAGATTGTGCGTTTATCAGACATTAAAATATTAGTATGATGGCAGTATTGGTTGGCATGGTAGATTGAATTAAATGCTGCCAACATAGCAAATTTTTAACACTTCCAAGTTTACTTCTATTGTGTATTGAAATAAATGCAAGGCAAGAATAATATGTTCTATTATTTAAAATATGGCTTGTACTTTAAGATGTAAAACTACTTGTAATAATTATGCTTCGGAGGGTTTACATTGAAATTATTGAGCTCAGTCCATCTTTAATTTTATAGCTAATATTCTACAATCCTTAAGTAAATTGTCGGTGTTCTAAAATTGCGCCAGCTCTGCGAACACAATCAATATTGGCATAGCAGTGGCTACGAATTGTTTCATTAATTATTTATTTTGTCCACAACTCTGTATTCACAACACCTATATTACAGTACCTCAATAGAAACATATTTTACTTATCTTATAACAGAATTAGCATGAACACAAAAAATTTTTTTTTTTATTATAATATCGATTACGTTTTAACCAAATCCCTTACAGGATAGGTAAGAGAACCATGAACTTAAGGCCTCTAAATTTACATACGACTCTTGCTTCTTGCACTCTCAGAACTCATCTCATGTATGCACTTTTTAACTAAATAAAAATATTAAGAAATTAAAAAAGGTCATATCGTTCATTATTTTTTTATTTTAATTTTTTTTTAGACTAGAATGAAAGGTGTCTTCCAGGTGTCCTCTATATATATACCCTCAACCATGTAAAAAAAACTTGATTAAATTATTAAGTACACATAATTACAAAAACATATAAAGATGGATTTTAACCAAACGAGCAAAACTTGGTTTGTTGGTTCTTTTTTAGCCTCTTTTTTCTAGCATTCTCTACTAAGTAACACAAGTTTTTTTTTTTTTTTTTTATCAAGATTCTAATCTCAGTAAAAGATTTAAGAAAGTATGATTATTTTTTTATAATTTTTGAACTTAAAAGAGTACTGTGTAATATACAGTGCTGTGAAGAGTCGGCAATATCGACAAGTGATTGTTATATTATGTAATTTACTTAATCATTGTCAACATACAATTCGTCAACCAGTCCTACCTATGCTTAGGAAGGAACACCACGTAAAATATTAGACACTTATCACCAAACAGAGATTGCAACGTGATAATTATAAACGAGACAAAAAACATACTATCTCTTCGCTTTCAAAGTTTTTTTTTTTATTTTTTTGACCTAAGGGTTAAGCTCAGGTCATAGAGTTTATATAATAAAAAATTATGAAGAACAACAGAAAAGATCTAAAGTGTCCGCTAAATATTGTTTTTTAGCCCATTAAATATATATTTAATGGGCTAAAAACGATGTAACTTCAATCTCTGTTTGGTATTAAGTTTTCCGGAACTGTGGACTCACAAAAAGTCCTACTTAACCTATATCAAAAATTGTCTTTCGTTTAATGGTAGAACTTCTTGCCAGTTCACCAAACAGATGTAGAATTAGATTTATGATTGATACAACTCACGTGACGTCGTGATTGCTGGGCTTACGAACCTGTAACCAATTAAACTGAACATATATATTTTTAATATTAACAATAAAATTAACAATGTATGTCCGTTCACATATTATGAAACACAAATTAAATAATCTTTTATCATTATGTTACGAAGCAAATGAAAAACTGTGGTCTGGGAAATATTAATATAGAGTACACATCTTTCACATAATCTACAAAACACACATACATACATTCATTAACACTTCTGCATGAATTCATAACTCTACAGTGTGCAGTGTGGTACGCGTATACCACAGTAACAGTTATCCATACTGCATAAAAATCTACAACAAACTACCTAATACAATTACTGTTCACTATTTAAAAGGGTTTTAAAAGCAAATTATTCAAATGGCCGACTAATAAATGTTTTCATTCCATTAAGGATTACTTTAAATGTAAAATGGACGACATAATTTAATGAGATTGCTAAATTATTAACTTATTAATGTACCTATTGCAATGGATAAAACCTTAAAAACATATGAACCCTTGATTTATAAATAAATACCAAAGAATAGATACATAAAATATTATAAATTACACAAGGTGTCCGGTAATGAATGGATAACCTTGAAACAACTTATAGTTTAACTTATGGCCGTCCTAAAAAACCCCCATGTGTTGCCATTCCTGAGGATTAAGGTGTTACTCCTCTGTACCCAGTAAATTTACGCTATATCCCACGCTTCAAACCGAAACACAGCCATGCAAACACAACTGCTTCACGGTTAAAACACGAATAGGACAGAGGTACCCAAGCAATCGACTTTTGTACAAAGTGTCCCTCTGTATATATATATATATATATATATATATATATATAATTAAACTGTTAGATATGGTTATAACGTTTCAACATGTGCAGTTTAATTATGGCAGTTCCATACTTACATTACCTGTAACATAACTCCACTCACCTTATTGGAACCATAGACGCCGCATGAACACCGTAAATGATACAAATTGCACCGTAAAACTGTCCGATATTGATCACTTAACACTAGATCACAAGTTCTGTCTTAGCACTATATACGTTTCACTCTGTTCAGTTTAACATTGGCAGTTCCGTATATGAACCTTTGTCGCCACTGTTCGTACTGCTACGTACACGCGATACTGTTTGTCTGTGCGTTGGATGTGGAAGGGTGTTCGTTCTTCTCTGTGGGTTTACGTTCCTCATGATTTGTACTTGTGCCATTTTGAAGATTCACTTCGTACATATTGGAGGAGTTAGAGTCCTCGTTGTATGAGATAATGCTGACATCCTCCGTCTGGAATAGAAGATAATTAATAGATTATTTTGCTGCTAAAATGTTGTGAATAGAAATATATATAATTTGAACATATAATAATATCATGAGTGTGTAAAGTGATAGTGAATGAACTAAATTTGTATTTATTTGTATATATACATAATTATAATATACTAAATCTTTTTTAACGCGCCACCTACCTATTTATGCTTTAATTCCTTCTACCCAAAGGTTGTCGGGAAGAGATTGCTTAGCAATAAGACCGCCTTTTGTACTACACTATACGTATTGAAAGTTGTTTTAACAAATCATGTTATGTTGGTGCAATAAAGTGTTAAATAAAAATAAAAATAAAAAAAAAATAAAAAATACAAAGTATACTTACACTGCTTTCTGAGAGTCGCTTTGTCTTTTTAGGCGGTTGGGACGGCTGCGAGTTGTTGGCTTGGTTGGCTTGTGCGTTGGGTGGATGTTGGGCATCGGCCAGCCGACGCTTAGTGCCCGAGGTGAGCCGCTCGCGACGCAGCAGCGACGGCGATAGATACTGATGCAGTTCTTTGCGTCTCACGTGCCGCGCCTAAAACAAATCGCCACCGTTACCACACTGTGACCACTCACTTGGTGGCTTCTGAGATGGATGGCCGCTTAGACTCAAGTGGACTGGAAGCCATTTCTAATTATTCCTAGTTCGCTTGTATTATTTTGTGTATTACGACGTATTCGTCAGTTTTTCATTATGATAAATCTTAATAAATCTTAAAAACTTCAATTAAATTATGTTACGATTTAATTTGCTTTTTTTTATTATAAATTATTATTTTGAAAGGGATACCTCTGTCCCACTCGTGTTTCAACCTTGAAGCAGTTGTTTGCATGGCTGTGTTTCGGTTTGAAGGGTGGAACAGGAATATGGCGTGAATTTACTGGGTACAGAGGAATAACACCCGAGTCCTCAGGAATGACAACGCATGGGGGGTATCATGGGCGAAACAGTATACTCTATAGGCGACGGTTACAACTTTCCATCAGGTGAGCCGTCAGCTTGTTTGCCATTCTAAGTTATATATAAAAAAAAAAACGAAATTAATAAATGAATGTCAACAACAACCAAATGCTAAAGCATGAAGTTGGATTAGTCGAACCATAGTGGTGAATTAACTAAGCTGGTTTCTTGAAAAAAACCACATAGCAGTGTAAACTGTTATATTGAATCAAATGCCTAATAGTTATACCCCCATGGACCATGATGAAACTTACCTCTATGCTCATCCCTTCTCGTAGCATACTGGTGTTCTCGGCTTGGAAGTGAACCGCTTTGGTGAACGTCGATATGTCGTATGTGAGATCTACGTTGACATTAGTCTTCTCAAACACCAAGCCGATAAACCACATGGAACAGTGGTTCGGAATCACTTCACCCTATAACAAGTAAATTTAAAATATTGTAAACTTTGTTCTCCATTTTCTACTGTGTTAATGTTGAAGATAATAAAAAAAAAAAGGAAAAAATAAACATATAGATACTATTGTCTTTTAGAGACATCTGATAAAGGAGTTACAATTATTGAATAAAACTGGGGTGGTTTAAAGATACGAAAACAGAGCCTTGAATAGAATATCTTTTTATAAAAATATCATCATCATCATCTTCCTGCCCTTGTCCCAATTATTATTTGGGGCCGGCGTAATATGGTTTTATCCATATTACTAAAGGATTTAGCTTACAGTTCTGTTATAGTTTCTGATATTGCTCACAACTTGGGCTACGTTTGTTTTTATTATTTACTTCATTATCTCGCACTGTATAACTATGTTAAAGTGAATGCTGTGAATACCTATAATAGGCATGTGCATTACAATTGTATTATATTTAATGTTTGTTATACCTATATGTTATAATGCAATATGCTGTTGGTGTTCCTTAAATAAATAAATAAAAAATAAAAATAGTTTTACGACCGGCCACCAGCCTGACGTCAGCCCTCTTTGGGAATATATATCAAATATATCCCTTTATAAGCTTTTAATTAGTCACTTTTATATAATTCTATAGCTGGATTCAACCAGAGAACTGAATCTGTTTAGAAGAATTTGCAAGGAAGTCAGCAGTAACTCTTTTAATTTAAACATATACAAAATAAACGTATTCGAGGATAATCTTAAGAGAGATATATTACAAAGAAGCAATAATTTACTTTGTCGTTGAGCTTGACGTCGCCGGGCGTGTCGGCGGCCGCCGGGGGCGTAGCGCCGGGTGGCAGCGCCAGCGGCTGCCCGCCGTTGGTGTGGAGAGGCACCGAGTTGAAGCACTCGGGGTTCACGTGCGCAATAGTGATATGTTGGTTGCGCTCCAGCGTGTCTACCGAATAATACACATATAAGTAATTCGTTTATATACGTAATTTTAGTATGTATGTATATCAATAATTACTAGTACCGCATTCGAGTATTCTGACACTTCCCTATGGTTGACTGGGAGAGAATGCTTTTAGCATTAAGTCCGCCATGTACACATATTTGTACTAATGAATAAATAAATAAAAAAAAAATAAGTAACAATTTAATAATCTTTTTCTATTAAAAAGTAAGTTTAAAAACACTTAAAAACAAACTTGTAATGTAATCCGTCATCATAGAGCCGCGGCCATACTGAATTTAAAATGACGTCACTAACTTGACTGTATTCTACTTTTCAAGCAACTTTCATTTGATATCCATATGAAGGAGGTTGAAACACATGATTTGCTATTTTATGATGATGATCATTTTGAGAAGACCACAATATTGAGTAATTAATATGGTATTGTTACCAGAACTAAAGGTATATGCAAATTTTCAATCCAACCAGCGGGTCTACCATGAAATGAAATTCCGAAATTTCGGACTCAATTTCCTGTTTTTGTTTATACCAAAATGGGACAAATAAATGGAGTTTAACATTTCATTCGTCATACATCCTATCATAAAAGTCCAAAGGAACAATATTTTAACATTTTTAATATTTCAAAACAGCATGTATTATGTAATTTTAACATCAAATTTCTGTTTCGTTTGGCTCCGAAATTTCGGAAAACATTTCATGGTAGGCACTCTGATGTCAACAGTTTAATTCAACTTGTAAGATCTGACTGAACCAAATGAAGTATGTTACTTCACTTTCATTCCTTTCATTACGTATTGTAAAAACAATAACAAATTACGTTAATTTGTTACCCCTTGGCGTTTTAACGGCTTAACCAATTGTGGTTAAACTTAACCAATCATGAAATTTGGCAAATACAGTATTTGAGATAAAAAAAAGAAATGAGACTACTTTTAATCCCGGTCTATCGGGGGGAAGGGATTGTTAGTGGTGCGGACCAGTAGGTCCCATTGCTAGCGATGCACCTTGTCGGGTCGACCTCCACGTAGTCCCCTCTGGAAACCATCATGCTGAATTCCGGGTGGATTCATCACGATGGGCTAACTGACCTGCTATTTCATTCTATTTCACTTATCATCTCTCACTGGTGGCCCGCCAGCGTATACCATTAGCGCAGGCGGGGTTACCATTTCATTATTATCTATAAAAAAAAAAGACCCGGTCTATCTACATATCCCGGTAACGCTAAATCGTGGCTAACAATCAGTTAATAAAGAAAAAAGTTACATCACTCACTGATAAGGTGCCTGATCTTGCTTTCGATGAGGCCGCACCACTGCAGCTGATCATTGGAACTGGCTGACGAAGCCAGCAGTACGATGAAATGACGGTAGCGGGAGAAGTAGTTGGGTGCTTCGAACAGACGCTCCCAGCCGCATTTGTTGAGCATGATCTCGTCTGTTATTGCTAAACCTGTGAACGAGGAAACGACGAACGACGGTTACCAATTTTTAACAGGTGGACAGGTTGCATAAAAAAAAACACAGGGGGGAAAGGGGTTGTTAGCAATGCAGTTTGACAGCCCCATTGCTAGCAGTATACCCTAATGGTCGGGGGGAAAAGGGATTTTTAGTAATGGAGACTGAGAATCCCATTGCTAGCAATATACCCAACCAGGTCGACCTCCTCGCGGTTCTCCCTGGAAACTATCATGGAAATATCCCTGGAAAATATCATATATGTTAATTCCTGATGAATTCATCATGATGGGCTAACTAGCCTGTTTTCATTCTCATCTATCACCCTTTACTGGTGCTCCGCAAGCGTATACCGTTAGCGCAGGCGGGGTTACCATACCATTTTCACCCATCAAAAAAAAACCCTAATGATCGACCTCTAAGTGGTTCCCGCAGGAAACCATCGTGAACAATTCTTGTTGAATTCGTCACGATGGGCTAACTGACATGCTTCATCCTATCTATTATCTCTCACTGGAGCCTCGCCGGTGTATACCGATAGCGCGGGCGGGGTTACCATTCCATTATTACTCATTAAAAAAAAACACAGGTTACAGTTTATATACTATAAGGAAACGAAAGTCAGTAAACTTATTTGTATGTTTATATCTTAGAACAATGCAACTATTTATGGAAATTCAAGAGCTTAATACTTACCAAGTCTGAACTCCTCCATTATGACAGTTCTTGTCGAAGCAGACACATTGAATGTGGAGTTTTGCTGCGGGTACGCAGGAGTGATGATTGGCATCAGATGGAAACGATCGGCCAGGTTTACCTGCACAATATCACATTATTTTAGTTTTGTTTAAAAATTTTAATTCTATTACAGTGAATAATTAACAATAAATTACACATCTATCACGTGTTTCTACCATTAGGGTAGGTAGAAACAATTTTTTTTAATACCATTGAGGTGGCAAACAAGCAAACAGCACACTTGATGGTAAGCGATTACCGTAGCCTATGAACGGCTGCAATACCAGGGGTATTACGCGCGCGTTGCCGACCCTGAAGAGTTCTCTTTAACCCTCTTTTGAAGAACTACATGCTGTAATCTCTTGGGAAAACCTCAGAAACAATGGGAACATTTTAATGTCTATGGTATTCCTTATGTGTTAAGGGCTAAGATATTTTCTTTAATAGATGAATAAAATGGTTATTTTCTTTAATAGATAAATAAAATGGTAACTTTGTCTGCACTATCAGTATATAATGGCGGGTCACCAGTGCCAGATGACAGGTGAAGATGAAAGCCCACCGTGAAGAATTCTATGAGAATTAACCACGACAGTTTCCAGAAGGAACCGCGTGGTCAACCTGATAGGGTACATTGCTAGGAATGGGACTGTTATGCCCCTATACCCTGTAATAACACTGTCATATCTCACCTTTCAAACTGAAATACAGGTGTTTAATGAGGTAAAAATGAAGGCAACATAGAACATACATATCATCAATCTCAATCAAAACAGATACAGATGGCTCGAGTACAAAGTTTTTTCTGGTTATTAATATGATAAAAAATCTAACTCACCCTTGGATCCCAGACTGGGAAGCCCAGATTAACAGAATCTGGCTGTTTGAGGAGGACCGGTTGCGGCCACTTCCACTGGCTGAAGACGAGGAAGAACTTGTGTACAAGGGTAGCTGGTAACGCGTTGGGGTACAGCTGGCATGTACGGGCTACAAGCATGGCCCAGGACACTCCACCAAGGTAGCCAAGTGTGTTTGAGTAGATACCGTGACCTGTACATAAAACCGCATTTGATTAATTTATTCGATACTCGTTCTTTATTCTGTATTGTACACAAAAGGTTATTGAAATAGAGAAAAACAAACATAATAGTGCACAAAGGCGAGCTTATCTCTAAAAGAGATTTCTTCCAGCAAACCCAATATGAGGAAATCTGACAGTTTATCGTATTTATTTAATCCTTCTATGTTATCCTAATGGGTTTCCCCCCATGTCAATGGACATAATCCTTTGGCATAGGGGGAAAGGGATTGTTAGTAACGAGTTCTAACAGTCCCATTGCCACACCACGCGGTTCACCTTGAAACCATGTGATACGTGATTTACGACACGTAACATGAACATAGCAAAACGTATGAAATAACTTCCTAATATTATATCGCATATTAGCACGTAGCAGTTAATATAAAAACAATATTGTATCTAGGTAAGATGAGAGTATTCATTATGTCATTCTGAAGTACACCAGTTACCCACCATGAACGAGTTTATTTTACTCTCCGCCAACCTTCCTAATTGCATGCTTAATTCTTCACGATAGGTTAACTGACCTATCCTCATCCGTCATTTATCACTGATGCCCCGTCAGTGTATAACAATACCGCAGACGGTATAATATACGGTATATTATACGGTTATACCATTATTATATATTAGACGGTAGATACCATTCCATTATCACCCATTAAAAAGTGGGTTTTATATTCTTTACACATTCCAAATTGTATACTTAATTAAACTGATAAAATTTTTGTTTTCTAATTGCCTGTATTGATCACACAATGTGTAGTTTTTTTACACGACTGCACAGAAAAGAAGTATAATACTCTCAGGGTTAATTTATATGCGACTTCTTTCCTTTCCCGTGGGTATCGTAAGAAGCGACTAAAAGAACTTAATGGTCGAAGCATGGGAAGCACTCTTAAAACATCGCCAAAAGCCTAACTGCGGTTCCAGCCCACCTGCCAGGCGTGGCAAGTACTGGCAAAATAGGCCCAATGGTAATCTGTTATAGGATACATCCATGACAGTTTATAGGGGAAGCCTATGTTCAGCAGTGGACAGATAACGGCTTAAATAATGTTGGTCCTAGATTCTTTGCATAATCTCGAGTAAAACTGACTATATTTTTCTTTAAATAGTTACATTTTTGACAAAGCAGACGTGTTTCTTAACTTACTATTAAAAACTTTAATAGGTAAAAACCATATTTAATTTATACTGCGTAAATGTTGTTAACCTACATAATTAAAAGACAATTAAAAACATTTTAGGTCAAGCATCCAAATACATACAGTCGATAAACATTCACTTTTTTCAACTGTCGTTAAAACAAAAACATAATTTTTTTTTTTTTTTTATACCACTGAGGTGGCAAACAAGCATACGGCCCACCTGATGGTAAGCGGTTACCGTAGCCTATGAACGCCTGCAATACCAGAGGTATTACGCGCGCGTTGCCGACCCTGAAGAAACCTCTTTACCCCCTTTTGAAGAACCCCATGCTGTAGTCTCTCGGGAAAACCTCGGCAGGGAGCTCAACTAAGTCAATTTATTGCAACTAAGTCATCTTTAGGTTGTTATTAAATATGTATAACTACTGTAACACAAAATAATATAAATTAAAGTTGACAACACCACAATTTATGTTGTCAAGTTCGCATGGTACATTTTAGTTAAGAATTAAAATCATATAATAAAATATTCCTTACGTTTCGCCCACAATTTAATGGCTCTTAGTGTGAGCCTGAAGTTTTCAATATTGGGCACTAGGCGCAGAATTTCGTCTGTCACCCGGCATCCGTTTAGAGACCTCACACACTTCTGGTCCAAATTCTTCAACAACATATCATCGCGGAGGTCGAACGAGTCTGAAATTTGACAATAGGTGTTAAACAAATATCCCTTTTAGACCCAAGATTTTTTTTCTTTCAGATTAAATATATTTTCGTGTTTTGGAGCCAAGCCATCTTGCCGGCACGCACGAGACTACTGCACCACCTAATCGCTAAAATGATTTCTTATTGGCTGGTTTATGTTATTTCAGCTTCGTGCGTAAAAAATGAATTGCGCGCGGTTTTAGAATTTTTTAAAGTTACAACTCACGCCCGTATCGTTCAGGTCTGAAAGGGCTATACCAATCACTTGGATATAAATAACAAAATTAACCCGGGTTATTAATTAGTATACGGCATAGAATGGGACACCCCTTTCTTTCTCATGGGTGTCGTAAGAGGCGACTAAGGGAGGGCGAGCGTCCCTCTTAAAATATCTTTAAAAGCCTAACTGCGGTTGCCAACCCGCTTGCTAAGCGTGGCAATTACTGGCAAAACTCCCTCAAGGGGGAGGCTTATGTTCAGCAGTGGACAGTTAAAGGCTGATATGATGGTGATGATGGTACTGTTCATATTTATGGGGACGGTTACCATGTTCCATCGGGTGAACCGTGCTCGTCACTTTGTTAGCCATTCTGTTGCATAATACAAAAATAATTATACCAATTAATATTGATAGAACTAGAGTACTGTGTTATAAGAGTACAGAAAACATTTTAATATAGAGTATTTTTAACCGACTTCAAAAAGAAGATTCTCAATTAGCTTATTGTTTTTTTCATGTGTTACCACATAACTCCGTCAGTTCTAAAGTGGTTTGGAAAATTCCTTTTATATATATACATACATAGAAATTTTATCAAAATCGGTTCTGTATTTTGAAATCAAAATTATTTTTTTTTAATGTAAAACAAGCTTTAATAATTCTATTTATATTAAATTAAATTAATTATTAAAATATTATTAATTACTATTAAATTATTATTAATTATTATAAAATAATTATTAAATTATTATTAATTATTATAAAATAATTATTAAATTATTATTAATTATTATTAAATTATTATTAAATTAATAACTATTTATAGTAAATGTGAAAAGAGAACTTACCTGGTATTTCCTTAAGCGCCAATCTAGCAAAAAGCAAGTCGATCTCAATTCCGTCGAAATTCATTTTTATTACCGGTACAAAAGCATCCTCGACAGCACGCAGGTCTTTTACCTACAAAAATATGTTCACGGCTGTATTATATAGTTGTAGAGCTTGGATGGAAGCAATTTATTTAACGACACATATATTTTATTACACCACGAAGGTGGCAAGCAAGCATAAAGCCCATCTGATGGTAAACGGTCACGGTAGCCTATGGGTGTCTGCAACACTAGGGACGTCACATGCATGTTGCCGACCCTGAAGAAACCTTAATATACATTTCTAAAGAAACCTATACTGTAATTTCTAGGGATAACTTCAGCAGAGAGCTCAATCCACAACTTGAGCGTTCGCGGGAGAAAATTCATCTGAAATAGCACTGTACATGACCATTTAAGTTCTAGCGTATGATGATAAATTCCCAGTTGACGGCGAGCGGTGCGATGATCAAAATAATTTTGAATAATTCTACTACAATCCATTATATAAGCAATATAAGACAAAAGAAGGCAAAGTCTTAGACTTATCGAGTCAATGCCGCCTGTGAGCTTGGGACCGTAGACAATTTTCATAGCCCGGTTTTGAATTGAGTCAAGAGGACCAAGCTGATATGTGATAACCAGGTGCTCTTGCTTACAGACCAGAACATTACTCCATGAGGGGCCGAACTAGCGATATATAGAACAATAATCTTTGTCTCGGAGTGAAGTACCGTTTCGCTCTATTCAGCCTCCCGAGTTTTTTGGACGCCAGTTTGACCCTATATTCAAAATGACCTCGCAACTCAACGCTGCTGGAGATGTCGACACCGATATTTTAGATTTTTTTTTATATAACTTAGAATGGCAAACAAGCTGACGGCCCACCTGATGGAAAATGGTAACCGTCGCCTAGATACATGAGCAGTATCATGGACATAACAGAGTATACTGTTTCGCTCATGATACTCCCCATGCGTTGCCATTCCTGAGGACTCAGGTGTTATTCCTCTGTACCCTGTAAATTCACGCCATATACCACCCTTCAAACCGAAACACAGCTATGCAAACACAACTGTTTCACGGTAAAAACATGAATGGGACAGAGGTACTCAAGCAAAATCACCAGAGGGAGACTTTGTACAAAAGTCGATTACTTTTATACAAAGTCTCCCTCTGGTGATGTTATGGAATATTAGCTTTAACTTCACCCTTTATCACAATATTGGGTTGACAGATCTCTTTCAAACAGTCCATCCTTGCTAATAATATATGCAACTATCTATATAATTTACAAGTGTAATAAATATCCGCCAAGAATATATAGATATTGAAACATTTATGCAATGTATATTCGATAGGGTTTACTCCTGTACTCATATTATGTTAATTTTCGTCACGATTGAAGTACCAGTAATAACACAGACCACAGGTGCTCTATTACAACTTGAGTGAGTAAACTTTGAGTCAAGGTTTTCTCTAGGTCGCTTTCTTTTTATACGAAGACCCCTAACCCTTACAGACACAAATTTTTTTTCTTTCTCATTAAATATATTTTCGTGTTTTGGAGCCAAGCCATCTTGCCGGCACGCACGAGACTACTGAACCACCTAACCGCTAAAATGATTTCTTATTGGCTGGTTTAGAATCTCACTATCATGTTATTTCAGCTTCGTGCGTAAAAATGAATTGCGCGCGGTTTTAGAATTTTTTAAAGTTACAACTCACGCCCGTATCGTTCAGGGCTGAAAGGGCTAATGTTGCTTATTGGAAGACGGTTTTTAGACTCCAGAGTAAGCTATAATTAATTTAAAAAATCAATGAATTAGTTTAGGTTTCGATCTTGGTACCCTAGAACTACAGACGGCAGTAACAGCAGACAGTGACACGTGCGCGATTCCTCCCGCTAGCATTACATACCTGTGGTTGCATTTTAAGTAGCTCGTAGAACGACTGGAAATAATCAGTCCTGTCTATGTGCCGTGGGGCGACACAGAGTGCGTCGATATCCGCGCCTCTGTGGTGAACCTGCAATAAGGAGAAAGCCATAAGCACGGGCTAAAAGGGGGAAAAGGAAGTGTAGTAATAGTAGACTATATATATAGCTCCATCACTAGCAATGTAGGATACATACAATGTAGGATCAGGTCGGCCTCTACGCGGTTCCCCCTAGAAACCATCGTGGTTAATTAGCGTAGAATTAATCACGATGGACTAACTGACCTGCTTTCATTCTCACCTATCTCACTTGTGCCATGCCAATGTATACCGATAGCGCAGGCGGGGTTACCATTGCATTCTCATCCATTAAAAAAAAGTACGGGCTGATATAGCAATTTTGCGTTTTAAATTAATGGGTTGAATGGATGTATGCGCAAAATACAACTATGAATAGGGCTTCGACAACAATTCAATTTTACTGATTTTTTTTACAAACACTAGGTTACTGCGTGTACATTACATTCTATTTTTTTTTTTTTTCTTAAAATATCCGCGCGAGGAAACTATAGACTTCAATACAATATGTTACAAGGATCGAAAACAAACAAGTTTAGAAGGAGAAAACCTTTTAGTTGAAGCTAGTCACTTTAAAAATCTGAAAGTGAATGGATTAATATAACTTGCTAATGAATGTGGTAGAAAAGAAATTGCAAATAAGGTTCGGTCTGCGGCGAAACTGGACTAAACTATTCATTAAATTCAACTCGACAAATTTAAATGCAAATTTGACCTAAATCGGAAGTCTGAATAATTTATTAACTAATTTATAATATTGTTATGATACGACCGTTATGGTAGATTTAGTTTAAAGTCATATATATATATATATATATATATATATATATATATATATATATATATATATATATATATATATATATATATATATATATATTGTAAGGTTTTTGTTCATCAACTTAACAATTATTTAACAACAATATTGGTGAAAATAAGGCATCAATAAAATAGTATTGTCCACGATGGCAGTGTTACAAAACAAGTAAATGGTACTACAGAAAAAAGCTACAGCATCCTGCATTATGGGGATATGTTTCCAATGATATATATTCGCTAAACTATCGCTAGACTCCCCTATCTCTTGCATTGAAACTACACAATGATATTTTGAGCCAGTATCCGCAATTGGATGTATTTGCCTCCTTGCTGGAGTTTCGTCGAGTGACCACAGAGTATTTGTGTTCAGATTTTTTTTTGTTTCAGTTAAATCTTTTTATATTATTTTTTGTTTAATATTTTTGTGTAATATTCTTTTTTATATGTTATTGTACTCAAGCTTTCCTGGGTGAGCGTATTGGAAGACTGTAAGGCTCACCCAGTGGATGAAATAAATAAATATTGATGTAGAATATTTAATTTAGTTTAAGGATTGTGATCTCGACAAGTTTTCTAAACTGTTCAAATCAATAGTTGGTAATTGTGATTATAAACAAAATTGTAGTGTACTTGAATAGCATTTCATTAGACAAAGCTGTTTCTCATAACTTATTACTATCAGGAATATTACGAGTACATAGTATTAGTTTGCAGAAATTTGAATGAACTTAATTCATGTTCTGATCTGAGGATGTACCATGAAATGTTTCCCAAAATTTTGAAGCCGAATGAAATACAAATTGATGTTAAAATTACAATCATGTAATTTTAACATACTTTTTAAAAATATTAAAAATGTTATAATATATAAAAAAATATTATCCTTTGGACTTTTATAATAGGATTTATGATGAATGAAATGTTTAAAAATTGTAAAAAGTAAGTAATAAAAATTCTTTATCGACCATATTACAAAAAATGATTCATAGACAAGCCCGACTTGATGCTATATAGCATTGTCTCCCAGGTAACCTCTGGCAAAACAGAAATGTAATAATGTTCAGCTCCATTTACTGGATCGATTTCGATATGAACGAAAATACAAAATTAAATCTGAAAATTAATTTTTTTTATACAACTTAGAATGGCAAACAAGCTGACGGCCCACCTGATGGAAAGTGGTAACCGTCACCTATAGACATGAGCAGTAACATGGACATAACAATGTATACTGTTTCGCCCATGATACCCCCCATGCATTGCCATTCCTGAGAACTCAGGTGTTATTCCTCTGTACCCTGTAAATTCACGCCATATCTCACCCTTCAAACCGAAACACATGGTAGACCCCCTGATATACCAAACTATCTTGATACAAGTAGTTAATAAGTTTGTAGCAACAAAATTATAAATTTTTTGGTATCTAAAAGATATTCTACACATTTCATGAAAAATGAAATGTCTGTGATTATTATAATTCATTATTTATCAGACACGACTATCTCGCTAGAAACATTGTGGAATGATAACCCCGCCTGCCGTAACGGTATACACTGGCAGGGCACCAGTGACGGATGATAGGTGAGAATGAAAAAGCAGGCCAGCCCATCATGATGATGGTTTCTAGAGGGAACATGTGGAGGTCGACCTGGTCGAGTATATTGCTAGCAATGGGAATAATAGTCCGCATGCACCCCTCCCTGAAATTTCCTGAGACAGTGAATTCTGGAGGACCTGGAGACAATGCCAAATACCTATATCTGTGGGCAAAGGTGTACAAGACTAATTGATATGGTCAAATATGGCAAACCTAACATGCAGAAATTCTCTATAAGGCTGGCATAGTCACCAAAGTTAATGATACTTAGATAAAATAGAATAGAAAACTTACTCCAAGTCTATATGACCCAAAAGTGTATATATTTCCGCCGACAGTGTCCGCCACACTGGGAGGCATGTTTTTCCTGAGTGACTCGTCGCGTATCCATTGTCTCACCAGTCTGTGGAGTTGTCCCAGTATTTCCATGCGGTGGTGCATTTCAACCTCAGATTCAAACACCCCATATGGGATCAGGGACTCCTTAAGCTCATTAGTTTTTTCAATATCAATTGGTTTTGGACCTGTAAAATTTATCATAGTATTGTATGATTCAAGCTCACATTGAAAGATGCTGCAATTAACACATTTTAAGTTCATCGAAAAAATTTAGTTGGATTATTTAATTTAGGTAATTAAGTAAAATAATTTCATGAATTCAAAGCAAAATTTATTTGCAAGAAACTTCTAACAGAATAACTATCTTTTTATTGGAGATAAAAAAAAATGCAAACCACCAACCTGCCATTGATATAGCAGACGTCATTCCCAATGTCTTTAGGTTTTGCTGGTTCTGATGCTCATTAGTTTTCCCTGCATTCTGGTTGCCTTGATGGTTTGTGTGGGAATAAGGTGAAGATGTCCACATCTTCGACATGGCTGCTGTACTAATGATGTTAAGCACTAATATTTTTATTGGTGGGTTGTATTCCTATACATTTGTATCAAAAGGCTCTCCTAAGGGACAACTGTTGGGTTACCTGTCCTAGGGGTCGATCTAAAACAAATGAAAATTTTTTTTAATATACAATTTATTATACACAAAAAGACAACAAGAGAACAGAGGAAAGAGTCATGTTATTGAATAATACAATGATGAACTTATAAAAAAAATCATAAATATTTAAATAAATACATATAATAAATTCATAACAGGTTGCTATTTGTACATGGAAGATATATAAAAAAAATATAGGGACACCCATGATGTCCCACTATTATAATAAGTGAACCTCAAAATTTATATAATCAAGACAAGAATAAGATACTGCTGGGTCAAGATCTCCCCCATTTACTTTTAAAACTTTCTGTTCCACCTCAAAAAAGTCCTTTCAAATGTATCTAAGTTATCACACCCCATCACTTTTTAGTACAGTCTCGGTGACATTGTGTATCAGTAAGCACTCACTGGTTGGAAACCTTTGTCCACCTATTAGAGCCCATACAATTAATGGAGCCCATGTGGAATGTGTAACTGTATTTTCATTAGAATAATAAGATTTTTTTTGTATCAATTTATAATGTATGTTTTGTATGTTATTTTATAATCACCAGTTGGAAAAATAACATGCTGAGAATGTTTACTAAATATGTAAAGTGATCTCTGTCAGAGATAAATCCACTCTTGCTCACAACACTTATAATAAATGCATTATATTACATGTAATTTACACGTGCAATAAATAATATATATAAAGTTTCAAAAAGTATATGGTTTTAACTACCGTTAACACAAGTAAATTTATAAACATAAAATAAAGAAGGAATATAGTTACAAGATCCTTTATTATCATGGTACGAATATTTAAAAAAAAATTTAAAAAAATACACGACGTGATGGTTTTTTGATAAAGGATGCGTAAGCAACGCGATTTTGTATTATAACTAAGAGTTGTGGACATGAATTCAAATTTAAATCCAATTTATTCAATATATTCACATAATACGCATCGTATTATCACTGCCAGTGATAATAAAACGCAGCTACATTGTTCTCAATAAACATTAAAACAACAAAACACCTAATCTCACATTCGTCACAATTTTATTAGGGTTGAAATAATTTGTTATTCATTTGATTATAAGGTGAAAACTTATGTAAACTAGTTCGTTGCATAAAATTAAAATAGTAACAGTGTCTAGAAAGAGAAATTTATTTACAGGAATTAAATTTAAATAAACAGGAAACAAAGGGGGTACAGTAAACTGAAAAAGCTCACGTTGCCCAAACTGTCCTCGTATTCATAACTAGATCACAAAGAATATAAATATTTAAAAGTATATTCAACCAATTAATAATATTTTAACACCAATTGCACGACGTCTTGTACTAGTAACTATTTAACTCATAATCGAATAAAGAAATAAACATTAGTTTCTAAACAAGCACCCAACAGTCGCCAACAACAAGGCAGCCATTTTGCTAAGATGGCGTTTGTAATATTTGCCATCTGCAAAATAGTACACTAGTATTGCTAGTTTTAAAATATGCGCTAATAAAATGTTTTCTTATTCCTTGCTTTTAGCACTAACTATTGCAGTTAACAAGATTATTTTTACACACATACATATCTGTCACGCCTGAATTTTACTATATTTTATAGAAATTGTAATCATATTATAAATTATAACAAAATTTAAGCTTCGCAAAAGTTATTTATGTGATTTTCTGTGAAATTCCACATGAATTATCGTGACATAGGATTCCATTAATGTTGGACCATTCACCTATATCGACTAATTATCGATATTATTATTAAAGAAATTATTTTTTTCGTTAATACCGCATACTTATTCTCAGATTTACTAAAGATGATTTTTTTAAAAATTAGTGGATTAATGCTATTTTGAATCACCAAAAAAACGTAACAAACATTTTAATGAAGATGATTATTCTGAAACCTTAATAAATTATAAATATTTAAAATAAATTCTGTACCATCATTAAATTTAGGTCATAATGCTATGACTGAACTTTTTTTTCATTTATTTTATGTGAAATATTTATTTAATCTTAAGTTTTCTATGTAACTATATAACATATAAGTTAGTCATAAATGAAATAAGAATTTTAATAATACCTAAATATATATGTTTGGAAAATTTTCAAAACTCTGATATTTCTACTAAGGATGTATCGATCTTGTTGGGTATATACGAGGGTAGATCGAAATATTCGCGGCCTACATGTACACATAAATACTTGAACTATTGTAATGTAAATGACCTCATTCGACTCGCTTACTCTCTGGTTGTCACATTATAAAATTCTATCGCAATAGCATTATCTGTTTTTAAATTAGATTGAATTTTGTGAGCCTAAGTGCAGCGTTTTTAAAGAATGGAGAAAATTGAGCAACATGCGGTCATCAAATACCTGTTTAAAAAAAAACTAACTCCAAAAGAGACTCACGAAGATATGTCAACAACATTGGGAGAATCTGCTCCGTGAAAAAGTGGGTTGCAGAATTTAAACGCGGTCGAGAGAGTATTGAGGTTGACCCTCGCTCCAGCTGGCCTACGACGTCTACGACTAAAGAAAACATCGGGAAAATCTGTGATCTAATTTATATTTATATAAATAATATAGTGTCTGTAATATAATTTATATCGTATTACAGACACTATTTAGACATATTACGAACACAAAACATCATATTGAATGAACTTTGATTTTTTAAGGTTTCTGCGCGATGGGTACCCAGATTACTTTCAGTTGAACAAAAACTAATACGGCTCACGATTTCTCGCGACTGTTTGGAAATGTTTGAGGCTGATCCACAAGATTTGTTGGCCAGATTTCTGCTAATGGACCTGGGTACACCACTACTAAATAAAAATGTATCGATGGATTTATTGACCACCAGCGCTAATAAAATAACACAAGGTAATGTAAATGGCGACAAAATAATTATAAAAGAGAAGTATAATGTGATGAAAAAGATTTTTTTTATTTAAATACACATAGACAAACAGTAGTCAGAAAAAATTAAATGTTATAATATAAAACATAAATCGTAATATTAATTAAGTTCAAATTAATATCAAACCAATAAACAACGTTTACTAAAATGAAATAATAAAACGTTTGTATGGATGCGTTCATACATATCTTTATTTTAGCGCATGTCTATTGGGCATCATACGATATACGGTCATATATGACGTATCCCCGACGTATCTGAAAACGCCGTTGAACTTGTTCATATATTGCTATCTCGTTTCACATCATAGTAACAGAAAGGGATTGATAGAGAGCTGGTTGATGTTTTCGTGTCAGCCTTGTGCCCATTTACGAGTGGGTAAAATCCGCCATCTTGAGATTGAATTCAAGAATGTAAGGATTTTTATCGGAGTTAAGTAAATACCTTTAATAATTTTATTATTAAATGGATGAACATTTAGCAACTACGCGAATATATATAATTTACACGAGCCGGTCGTTATAAAGAAAGCTCGTTGCGTTTAGCAAAGATCTCTAACGCCGAATTTTTTCAGTGTTTATGTGACAGCAGACGACACCGTAAGCTTTCTAATAGTTTTTTGCGTGTCTATTTCCGTTTTTAATATCGACGATCGTAAGCTTATACGTGAAAGTGTTGAAGATACGGATATCGTGACACAGTAGTAATTTTAGGGCTTTGCGATGTGTTTTTCTAGTCAAAAATTCGGTTAGATGGGCGTTGTTGGTCGGTTGGTGGAGTCAAGTCCGAGGTCTGGTGAAGGCCTGGGCTCGTGGGGCGTGCTGAGAGTGCGGCCGCCACAGAGGATGCGAGCTGTGAGGGTGGGCTAGCAAGGTGTTAAGTGTTTAATAAAGTGAACTGGTGAAAATGTCGACGACAATGCGACCCACTCTGCAAACTGTCCCGGAGTCCCTGCCGGCAGACCATGTGACAACCCCGGCGGCGGCTCCCGCCACGACCACCGCCGCCGCAGCGCCTTCTCAGCCGAGACATCCCAGGCCGATATTTAAGGTAAGTGCTTACTACTTTTAAATTGATTCCCCTGTCTTGTGTGTGCTGATTTACTTGCGGTTTATGCCTACTTAAGCTTTTTGACAAATATTGCTGACCAGTTGTTTAACAATAGCAGTTTCCCTTAATACAACTTCTATAATTTAAATAAATGATGTTTGCAAAATTTTTACTTGTATGAAAATAAATAAAATTTGAAATGAAAGAGTTTATATTACCTGTGTCATGTTGTATCAATAGAATTGGTACAGATTAGGTAAAATACTATAAAAAACATTTATTTTTAATATATCAACAACATAGTTCTACAGATTGTTTATATTTATTAAAAAAAAAAAACAGTATTTGCAATATGTGCAACATCTACTTAAATATGTATCACTATGTAGTACTTAATGCTAAAATACAATTTTTTTTTTATATTTACATTTTTGTATATTCATATATAAATAGTTATGAATGAACCAATGGGACATATCTTTATTATAAAATGAGAGTTATAAAGAAAATTATAAATTATTGAATTGTTTTCTAAATGGGGTGTATAATAAATTAAGTAAATTAAATTATATGATGATTGCTTAAGTCTTTAGACACCAAGAGGTAATAAAATATAAATTTATTTTCACATTTATAATAAAAATTAATTGTTATTAAATTCTGCATAAATATTAAATAATTTAAACTTTATTGTACACAAAAATTATATACTTATAATTTATTGTAAATGAGGATGTACAACAACAATGTACATTTAATAATTTTAAAGCAACATATATTAAGATTATTTTTATTATTATATTTTATATAGGGAAAATGGTAATAAATATTCACAACTGGTTTTAATTCTATTCACATTATACTTAGTAAGTCAGTACCTAATAGATATTAGGTAAATTATATTAGTGTACTTATTAATACATATATTTTTATGTAACCTCTTAAAGGAGTAGGTTCTCAATTCATCTGTATTTATTTTTGTCTGTTTGTTACATGATATCATTGTAATTTTAAAGTGATTTTTACATTTCATAGGAGTTGCTCATGTCCCTTATAAGTTTTATCATAATTTGCTATAGTGTAATTAAATCTTTAATTGTGTGGTAATAATCAAAGCAATAAAGTGCAAATTCGATTGTATAAATAGTACAGGAATATGTAATTCAATTGAAAAAAAAAATGTGTTTGAGAACACTTCATTGATGCCTAAACAAACACACCTACTTGTAAAATGATTCATACAGTAAAACAGAACTGGTTTACCAATTTTATTAATGCTGTATGGTAATTATCATTTACATGTATTAAATTGAAAATTTTCTTCTTCATGTAATAAATTATTACAATTATTAAAATAATGATATTCAAACCGACATATTTAGTTTTAAAGTTTCAATTCTTTTTACACATTTAAGTACATTAATATAATGTAAAACAGGGGAATCATATACTTTTAAGGAAGCTTTGGGGCAAGCATTTTGTCCATTGTCTATTTTTTTTTTGTGTATATACTTAATTATCATGTTTTTGTCTTGTCTTTTGCATTCATGTTTGCTTATGTGAACATAAAATTAAGGACAATTGGTAATTTAATATTTTATTATTAAAAAAAATATATATATCATGTTCAAGTTTTATATGAAATATATAAATATATTTTATATTAAAAGCAACAAAAATTCTTCATACACAATTATATTATGTTTAGATATTTATCCCTTAGTATTGGTTCCTTGTACAAGGTCATTGAACTTGTTTTATAGGTAGCCTTCATAAGACTAGGTTAGATTACAGTAATAATAATAATAATAATTAGTATTATTGTTATTAGTGATATATTTTTAATTAGTATAAAATTTTATTGGAGCAAAATAAAAATAAAATATATAATTGACTCTATTTGCCACACATGTTAGATATAAACATCCATAAATTTACTATTGAATTTAAATTCTTAATAATATAACACAATGATTAGATTTCTTCAGAGCACCCAATGTCCTGGAAAATATACCCATATGTGCAACTACAGTAACAGCAACTAAGTAACAGTTTTTGACCAATATCCCCTCCACGACTGCAGTGTTCCTCTTTCCCTTTTGCCCTTAAATCTTTCTTTTATTCTTTCCTCCATGCCATAGGTGGAGGATACCACCTACAATAGTGTTTCCAAAAGATGGTTCACCAAAAGCCATTGAGTAGAACCAAAAGCCAAAACCTTATATAATATGAACCAAACAGTATTGCGCCGATCCCAAATAATTGAGATAAGGACAGGTTGATGATGATGATTAGACATCATCAATGAACAAAGTCATTTGAAAACAAACTATGTATATATATATATATATATATATATATATATATATATATATATATATATATATATATATATATATATATATATATATATATATATATATATATATAAGTAGCTATATTTGAGTATTATATATTCA